AAAGGAACCAGTTCATTCCAGAGATGGTGGTCGCTAGGCAAAAGCTTGCCTCGAATGACGAGGCATATAGCAACAGTGTCGGTAGTCTAGGGAATTCAAATTGTTACGTTTCTGTGCAATCAGATAACACAGTGTACCAGATTGTATTCAAATTTAAGTCGCAAGTGGGTTATTGATTCATTTGTTGACTCTTCATGTGCTTACACGAAATTCAAATATTGGGAATAATATGGTTCGGCAGACTCTGGTACACCCGTCAGGGCCAGGTGCAAGTCTAGGCAGTTATTAGCAGACTCGGGCAATATTTTTATTATATCTATTGAACGGACAGCTCAAGCAAACAGCAGATGGTAAGGCAGGTGGGGGGCGTTGGCTTCATAAACGGGGGCACTGTGTTTACAGTGCGCTTCATGTTTTTGTCAGTATCAGAGAGTTTTCATTAAAAAATGTAATGCCTAGAGAAATTTAATTCAATTTATTAACAAACACGGAGAAGCGGATGTGGACAATGAATGGACGTTATATTAAACAAAAATATGTACTCGCAATTCGTATGTACCGAATGAGGCCACCGTCTTTGCCAAATACAAAGGCGATGATTGGTTCGCTTGCCATTTTTCTATTGAAACCAGGAACGAATGGCGAGCATGCTTTTGTATTACCTTTGTATTCAGCACATTAAGTTGGCTGCCCGGCGGCGTCAATGACCTCTGCGTGTTGGTTAAGAGATTACGAGTCCAGATCTTTTGGTGGGGTCGTGTTTGTTTTGCACCAGCTTTGAGACCACTGATTGCGATCCAGATCCGTGTAAAACAGGTAGATGAAATGAAGTCCGTGATCATTATACTCGTGTACATGGGTCCTGGCGTAGGACAGCACGCACCGCCCCGATTTTAAAGTGCGCCACGACACCAACACATTATAATATATGGAAAGACGGCCTTAATGGAATTTTGTAGCGTGTAAGGCTTACTTATACTCTGTAAAGCCTCTTTGACTGACTTACGCAATGTGATGTAACTGTCACTCCATCAGCTTCCAATTGCCTGCAGCTTGGCTACGATTGTTGAGCTATGTCCTGACGTTAAGTACAAGCAGGCCTAGGTCTCAAAAGCTGGCATTCGGCGATCGTGAATTTTGACAGAGTGTCTTGCGGCAACATCAACAGGTTGATCACGGATAAGATACGCTTAAAGTAGGCCTACAGCTGAAACGTGTACGTTTGGTACAATTACCACTGATTAACCATGGAAGTCAGTCAGAGCTCTTTATCTGACGCGGGTTGCAATGAATGTATACGGGACTGGGAGACGACGTATTAATAGATTGGGCATAGTTATGTTACACAAAATAGTTCACAAAAATGTAGACCTGCAAGTTGGAGACCAAGTTTAATACAACCCTTACAAAGATACCCCATAGAAGTGATGATGATGATGAAATATTGCACCAGTTCAAAATTCATCTACAATTAGAGAACATATGTTTGATCAGATGCCTCTCTAATTATCTATCCATACAGATCAAGATGGGAGTTAGGTCAATTTGGCTTCTTGTTGTTAATGCAAAATGACGGCCGGGTCCACATCCTACCAGTAGAGGGCGCCCTGGGATAAACACCGCAGAGCTGTATACCGAGAGATTAGAGTAGCATTAATTTCAAACTTTGGAACCGAAATCGCTGTTCGTTATGAGCCTGTTTGTTACACACAGATCTGGATCGCAGTCGGTGATCCCAGAGCTTGTTTGCGCCATCCATTAGACGGGTTCTGGTGCACGATGAACTACTGTAGTCGAGTCATACAGATCTCCACTAGGAAAATTTACTACCACCTGTCTTTCTTTTGCCGCTTAGGGGTGTACTTCAACTCGGGGCGAATTGGGCACCGCCGAACACGCAGATTGGGGAGCGAGGTTGCACTGGCCGTTCCCACGTGTTGTTAACTACACACCGAACGTTAATCGCACGCGTAATTTTTTTCCTAGGAGGGTTTGAGGTAATTATAATAAAATGGGCGTATAGGACCTATGTGAATCGTTGCGCATATGCGTAGGAAGGCTGGGGGCAATTTTCAAAGGGGGTGAGGGTGGACAAACTTTTAATGAAGGATAAGAAACAACAAATTTGTTCTCTTACATGGTCAGGTGCGTGGTAGCTCAGTCAGCCTAAGAGGGCTTGACTTGTAACCAGCAAGGCAAGGGTTCGAGTCTAAATGCATAAAAAATGGGGGGGGTTAGTTGGTAAGAGGATGTTTATAATAGGAGGTTAAAGCCCGAAATATAGGCCCACCTTCTAACTGAAGTTTCTAAGTCTCCACTTAACCGATCGAACTTGCAGTTAACCACGCCCATACATGATAATTGCTGCCGACCCTCCTAGGAAATCAAATTACGCGAACCGCACCGCGTACCCATCTCGAGGAAGGTGGACTGCACACCCAGCCAATTACAGACTTAATTTCAAGTCTAAGCGAACCGGTGCAGCTAGAACAAAATGGTGGACTCATTCCTGTACGGCCAGAATTCACATTTTCGGTAAATCCAATTCTCGCTCTCTTCCCCCTGGAAAGAAGGGTTGCAACGAGGGCCATATTTTGCTCTGCTTGACATTCATCTTCCGACTGGTCTTCAAATAAGAGCAAAATCCGAGATCTGTCAGCCATTTTAAATTGCTTTGTCTGATCGACACGACTCGCCTCGCACGTGCCCGTTCGTAATAAACCTGTTCAAAAACACAGTTCCCGTGTTTACTCAGTCGAGTTTTCAAGTTTTTAAATTAGGAATAGGGATTCGAAAACGCTTTACACAGTGCAGACTGTGCAGTGCGTCCCTGAGCACTGACGTATAATCCACCACATTTGTTCCAACAATTGAGACATTCATAACCCAACTCCTCTACAAACAGCTCTGCAAACACCGCAGAGCTGTGTACAGAGCCTTGACATAGGTGTCACCAATGTTAAAAAACAGACTTGACATGTGCATGCGTCACTGCGTAGACAAACTGTGTGTGTGCAGTGGCGCATGCACATGCCATACACAATTGAGCAGCGGACCAAGAGAAGGCGCAGTTTTCCTAGCAACAATTCCTGTGGTAGGAAATCATGACTGGTTCATGAACGACTATGAAATGCATGCGTCGCCGTCACATCAGTACCAGCAAATGAACACTCCCCAGCCAACATCGACCGATGAGGGGACCGGGTGCTTCTGCTCAAGGCGGAGAACCTCACGCTCTACAGCGCACATAATAATAGTCATTTTGTTTCCAAAATCTGAAGCGAAGCTACTCTCCATGTACAGCTGTTTGTGAAACACCGGTACCGCTGACTCGCGCTCAATTATTGTCCAACCATGCACTATAGGAACTGTTGCAGATTTCCTGTCACCCAAAGGAACAGAGCCCTTGTTCTTCATGATTTGTAATTTTTTTTTCAAAATAATTATCAAGACGTCAGCATACGCAGGAGAAACAGATTGGGTTAACTTCCCTCAGTGAATTGTATTTATAGGTGCTGTCTTTAAGAATCCCAAAGGCTATTAGCCTACATGTAATAAATGCTACGAGGCCGATGGTTCTTATTAAGACTTACATGAACATATGCATTGGCGTAGGCCTCTATCTGCAGTGCTGGCAATTGGTGGGGTGGAGTGGGGGGAGGTGGGGAGGGGCTGACTTGTCAGGCAATGGAAATTTAAGGGGGGCTACGTACACCATATACATTATATAGGGGCGTTGTCGTCGGCATCCTTCCGTTGATCTGCTAAAGACGATGGTGTAGCGTCCGAAGGATCTATAGTTGCACGGTGGCTGAACTGCTGAACAGACCGATTCGTTGGTGGCAGTCCCTGTTGCACGTGGTGCACAAAGATGACAGCTGCTGCGGCTGTTTTGCTTCACCTTTCAAGTAGCTCTCTTCTGGGCAAGAGCCGTGTTCCTCGCCTCCTCCGCTGCCATTACTCCGTGTCCAACAGTGAGGCACTAGGATGGGCGGTCTTCTGTTTGCCAGGTTTTCCCACGTACAGCGATGTTGATGCCACACAACTTCATGTCTCAATGGGGGACGATGTTCACAGTAAAGGTGTACATCTCAAATATGTATCAAATTCGTGCGGAATCTTACATCCGAATGGCATATTTATAGCTTTATAACATTGTCACCCTTTCTAATGATATTGCAAACATTTTAGTCGTTGGGATTCCTAAATATTCTTCACAATCCCCTTATTTCTTTTGCTCATCACAAAAAGTGTGTGCAGGGGGATGATTCAATAGCCCATCCCCCATCTCAAAAAGTGTGGGGGGATATATGCTTACCCCCGTCCCCCAGATTTACGCCCATGCATACATGTTGCTCAGCTTGATGTTAATTTTGACGCAAGTATCTCTATAACGTTGTGACTATTTACCGAACTTTTCAAACATGATTTACTTTTCCCAATGTCGACCATGTCAAATACGCCTAAGAGTCAATTTTTGAACCTCATGTTTCAACTTCCCTAACGTCGTAGTTTGTATTTTGCAAACGCCATCATGGTCGATCAACTTTTGTATGACGTAGGCTACGTCAGCTTTCTGTTTATTGGGTGGTTCATTTTTTCGAACGTCATTTTCTCCATTTATGTGGTTCAATCATCGGACATTGACTTCTCTCATTCCAACTTCTCCCTGGTTTATATTTTGCAAGCGTGGTTAAATTCTCTTACGTCATACTTAATTCTTTCAACTTCAAGCTTAACATGTCAAAATTCGTGGTTCAACATTTCAAGCGTCGTACTCTAACTTTTCAAAACTCGTGGTTCAACTTTTATGAACCAATTTTTTGTCCATGTGCACGTTCGGTGTTTCACGTATGCTCGGTTTACTGAAAGTACATAATGCTAAACCCTAACCCCCTACGGTGTAGGTATAACCACGGGCGCTGTAAGGTTAATAATTGAGTAACGAGTCAGTGACTCACTCGTGATCGTGGATTGAAGCTTACACAAACGAAAAGCACTCCCGCACTCTTCAAGTGTTCACATTTATTAGCAAGTTCCTTTTCAAGACAATGTTCATGATTATACATGTATTACCTACATATGAATAAACATGATCCGACTGTCCCAGAGACTGGAGGTTGAAAACTGTACGGTCCGGGCAGGTTGTGAACTCTTTGATCCTCGAAAGGCTGCTCTGTATACAAAGTGGCCATGCCAAATTTGTCCTGTTCGGACCAGTAATAACAGCTACTATGGCAAATGGCTTCAGCGGCTTCATGTACTAAGTGTCTTCCACAGGCGCACGTTATTTCTATCCCTAATCAGTTTCATATCACAATAGGAAATTGAACACTGCTGTTGTTTGCATAATAAGAATAAGAATGCCAAAAATGTCCACATTTCCCACAAAGGGAAGTAAAATTCAACGCGTGCAGGACAAATTTATTTATACAGTGTACTCAGGATTTGGTATTGCTTGCGAAAATTTGGCATTTCACCTTTTTCCAAAAATGAAAAAACAAGCTTTTAAAGCGAATCATAAACTACAACAGAGGCCTCCCGCTCATCACATCAAGATGTTACCGCAAATTACAAGAACCTGTTAAATACATAGGGTTATGTAATATCATTCATATTTAAATTTGAAAAATCCTCCAGGTTCTCGTTCTTATTCAACAAATTCTGTCACACAACAGAATTTGCTATTATAGCATAGTCTAGACAATATTGGCCCTATTCTAAAACAGCTTTATGCCATATTAGAATAACAAGCTAAAGGCAGGCGGTTGGAGAAAGTTACAAGTACATGATCTATTATGAAATTATGTGTGCTGCATAATCTACAAACTGGGAGAGGCATAACTTTAACTTACGTCGCAGATATGAAAGGGCCAGTATTGTAAAAGCCGTGATATATAACCACCAAAACAATAGGAAACATTAAAGCATCATATTTTAGTTGAACGATCACTGCTCAAGCAGCATATCTGAGGATACCGGGCTAGATGCCTAAATTCACTATTACTATGTGGCCCGAGCTGGACCTGAAGAGGATGCAATTTTCATAGCAATAGAGGCTCCTTTGGTCAGAACTCCACTTTCCTGGTTCCTGGTAATTTGTGTAGGGGGCCTACATCTGAAATACTGAGATTTTGCCCGGCACCTCAACATATCCTCTGAAGAGTCTGATTTATACTTTCACTTTGAAATCAAGGCTGGATCTATAGAACTGTATATAATGATGATCATATGATGATGTTAAGCGTGTTTATACCATAGAGACAGCGTTCATAACAAAGCATCACTACATGTATTGGTACACAGAGGCTTTTTAAGATAGCTACCGCTGGATACACTGGATACCATGGCATTTTGAAGAAAAACGGAATCAAATGTAGTTACACCCACTGAAACATGTCCAGCCTTTCAACTGTAAAATAAAGGATGACAGAAATTTACATTTGAAAATGATACAGCTATTATGATTTGATACATACATGTACTTCATAAACTCGGAAAATTCTTTTCAGATATTCATTGCTTATCGTATGTCCTGTATGGATAAGTAAATGGTTTCATAATTTACCAAGTTCGGAACTACACATGTTAATTATCAATTCGTCAGAGAGTTTGTGGCATATTACACAACTGAAATGATCCTGGAAGAGCACATAGTAGTACAAGTTGAGTATATCCCGATAAGTGGCAACAGACGAGGGTAATCAGGGGACTCGGGTGGGTTGAGATGAGGTCACCTAGCTGCTCATCGCTAGCAGGTTGTTGATGGCAGCGTCCTTGTTGCCGTTGTTGGCCTCAAGGACCGACCTGATGGCCTCGCTCTCCATGTTGGGGAACATGTCCTTGAGACTGGTGATGTCGGCTTCGGTGATCTGGGGCGCCTGGTGGGCCTGGGAAGGCTGGCGCTGGGGCTGTTGAGGCACAGCTTGTGGGGGGTAGCCTAGGGGAGTGACGAAGGGGGAGATCAGTGTATAATTTCTTACAGATAATGTTGGGACTAGGACCAAGCTGGGATCAGAATTTCACAAAACTCACTGTGAGCTCTGAGGTGCTGGACGCATGTATCATGGCCTTGTTAAGACAGGCCAATTCCAAATCTTTGGCTATTGCGAACAGTTACTTCAACAGGGAATTCTCACTGACATATACGACCAAAGGTGCATCTTAACCATGACAGAAGTGGTGACCATTATACCACATCATACAGGGTGGTTTAAGAATTACTTTTCCTGTAATTCTTGAGACTTTGTGTTGACCTAGTGTTGATAAAGAGAGAGGTTGGCAATAATCCTGAAAAAATGGTAGGTCTAGCTGAATTGGATCTCAAGATATCACCCATTACAGATGGCGTGTATGATATCATGGGTGATATCATGAGATCCAATTAAGCTAGACCTACCATTTTGGGGGAGTATTGCTAAACACCCTACTAATTCACACTAGGTAAATACAAATTCTTCGGACTGTGGGATATGGGTGAACGATCACTTTAAGCTTAGGTTTACATCTTTGAACCACCCTGTAATGTGCAGTACACACATAAATTTGCTATTGCCTGCTGCAATGGAGGCCCATTTCAGGCAAATGGTGTGGTTGCATGGTACCAAAATGTAATCAAACCTAGTCACACCAACCAATCCCCTCCTGCTGATATCTCACAAGTTTTTCCTTGCAGGGTCTAATCAGAATGTCTCTTCATCTAAGGTGCGAGGGGCAGAGTGTTAAGATGGGGGGGAGCATTTTTGGAGACCTTGTTGTGATATGCCAATGAATGTATTTTACAAGCATAAAACATCAGCAACTCAGCAACGGCTACCACCAGCCATTTCCTTAAGGCAAGACACACACCATGCCCGTTTTTGAAATAGGAGTTTCTACATGTAAATGAGAGCCTACAATGTTACCTCACCCACATACATGAACAGTTCAAAACAACAAAGTCTTACACAGAAAGAAATTAAAATTTTACAAAACAACACAGACATGGCAAAACGTTGCTTAGTTAACATAATTGCTAGAGAAATGAAAGCTGAATTCCCCTACAAAAAGGAATCAATTCTGCAAAATTCAATGGACTAATAGTGGGATTGCCTTACCCATCATGTTAGGAGCAACAGGGGCATAGCCGTAGGGCCCAGGAATGACCATGGTCTGGGGGGCCCCGTACACAACCTGAGGAGTGAACAGCGGCATCTGCTGAACTTGCTGTAAAGGAAACCATGAAAACCAAAGCTTGTCACCCATGAACACCATAAACCAGGAGATGACCCCTGTAAGTCACCAATGAACCTTACAGCACCTGAGTGCGACAGATTAACTTTCTGCACTCGCGTGGAAAAGTCTTCAAACTTGGCATGAAAAAAGCTTCAACAGTTTCGTAAAATCCAATCCGAGGGAGTTCTAGATCTATGACTGCTTCCTCACCTGGTGTGATAGCACTATGTTGATCATACCCTCCTTCTCATCTCCCTGTTTACCAGTGAGTGGATACCAGTCATCTTTGACTTCACCTTGGAACACCGAGGGTGCTATTTGAATGTGGTTCCATGCAATGCGATAGTCAGCTCCAAAGGATTTCTTTTGCAAATAAAAATCAACATAAAAAAATCAGTGTCCCAGGAAAACTGCATTTCTAAAACAATTTCAACTCCCGCTCTGTTCAAGGCGGTGTGTTGCATTACACACACACACAATGAATGTTTGTGAGTGCAGTGGTAAGCATTATCACACCAAGCAACAGACTGAATGCTTTGTCTTGTAAGGCAAAGCCAGGTGGAATGGGACAGTCCATGGACAATGTGAAAACACTCACTTTATAAATGCCTGAATAAAAATCCTTGTTGTATACAAGTCGCCATTTTCTCTTCTCAGGCTGGCAGAAAATCGGGACAAGAACTTGTCTCAATTCAAATCAGTCCATTCTTCAAGGCAGATATGGGCGATTCACAATGCAGTGCGCCACCAAGCACTTGCCGAGAAGAGGCCTTTTAGTGGTGCACCGTGGGAAATGGTTGACAAAAGTCTCTTTGCCAGCTATGAAGTGCACGTGGAACTTGATGTGTCTCCAGAGTTTGTTTGTCTGGGCTTAAGACTGGAAAGTGTTTTTGACTATCAGTGTAAATTACTCAAGATGGTGGATTTTTACATCACAATCAAGCCCAACATTCCTCATGTGGTCTACTAACATTCACTTCAATTAATATTGCAGTAGGTCAGCCATGTTTACGGTTGACTGTGAACTTGAAAAGTGGCATCTCTGTGGCAAAATTCTTGGTGGTATGCTGTAAGGCAAATCGCCTATATTCATCCACCAGATGACAGGGATTATTCAGGTGTCGTGTCCGCTCGGAAAAGGAACAAGATAGGGTGTGTGTCTAAACAGAAACAATGGTCTTTTCAGGGGGTAGTCCATGCATAGGGGTGCAGGCTCAAGCAAGTTTGGTGAATGCACGCATATTTCTGTTTGAATGTATGGTCATTGGGGTGCACCAGGCTTGGGCATCAGTCTCATTGGAAAACTACCTAATAGCCTGTTTTTCCTTTGCTGGTGAAGACGCAACTCAGGGCAAGCATAAATAGGGTTTGTTCTTTTGACGTCACAGTAATGTTTTTCCTACGAGTAGCTGCTAAAACTATGGCTGGCCGTTGGTACAAAATCTAAACCGTACTTCAAAAAGTGTTTAAAAATCCCACACAGCTATCAGAACAGGGGATAATAACACACATATACATGTACTGCTACATACTAAATGAAAATACAACCCTATTTAAAATCAATGAGACAAATGTCCATTATGAACAAATTGGAGGTGAAACCGAAAACCATCCAAAAGGGGACACATGTACGTGTACATACCAGTTGTGGGCAAAATGAGAGTGGTCTAACTATAACACATTCTTACTCCACCCCCCCCCCGGGCTCAGCCAAAGGCAACATACAGGCATACCATGAAGCCATAGGGTCAACTGAGACTGAAGTTAAAAACATTAAGCCTAAGTTTGTTCGTGGAGGAAGGACACAGATGGAATTTGAACTGCTCAGGCTACAACATCTGGCCAATTACCACTTTCTGGCATGCTGGGTATGTCCATAGCCAGAGCGCAGCAAGTGCTCGCTACACACCACCTGTTTCACAACCGTAAGCCCTCTTTGTACCCCATGATTGTCGTCGCAATTTTTCGCTGGTAATCTGTCTCCTTAAAACGTTGTGTACTGCAGTATAGGAAGTTGAATATTCATGCCATCGTTGGTGCTTGGAATAATCTGACATCAAATTTAATGCTTGCGCAGTTGCTTGTATTAGGCTGTGGGCCATAAGTATTCATGTGCAGTTGTTGCCCTTATCGACCGCTTTCTTCTGAAGTTGTTTTGGGAATGAATAGCCAAGCTGTATATTGTATTTTATTTGAATCATTTTTATTACTGAATTTACACAAAAAGGTATTTTATGAGATGTCATGATCACTCCTTGAGATGAAACAGCGCATTTCGTTTTTCGTGAACTTAACTGTCCTGTGGTGGTCAATAAGTTGTTGTTCGCCAGTCTTTGCCAAATTTGTAGAAAGACTTTGATAACTGGTGTTTTGGAGTGACAAAATAAAATTACAAACATTGCATGGATAATGGAAAAGTGCATTAAAAGCTTTCAAAAAATATTCATGATGGCAAAAGTAAATCTAATGCTAAATATATTTTCTTTGTATTTCCTAGTCACTGCGACAAGTTGAAGTTAATTGCAAAGAAAACTCCACAAATATTGCTACAATATTATTGGCCCCACTTGTCCAGCTAAGCTGCAGGCAGTAATCAGGCATGTTTGGAATGCTTACTATTGTTTGTCTGATCAAGCAGCGATGATCATCGAGCACTTTGATCTGTCAGAGCTGTAACGCCTTCTGTGTCCTTCCTCCATGGTTTTTGCAGAGGCAAGTCCCAGCAAAAGGGAATATTTGTCATTCCATTACCAGTCTCATTATTATTCATATTTTGCACACAAAAATAGGTGATTTCTTTTTCAACAAATAAAAAATAGCAAAGATCAATAGTAGTGATAATATTAAAATATAATTTTCTTTCATTTCTTTGAAAACATTTCTTTCTTATTTATGAATTACAGAGAATAATAAATTCAGTAACGGATGATGTATTTGAACCTTTGCAAGGAATTGCCCGCCTACTGACTACATGTACATGAACTTCTATGGCATGCTGCATGTACCCCGGAGGCTACATGCCCTTGTAGGCTAGGCTTACTACTTTTCACAATGCACGGTACCTCATCAAATATCTCTAAGTAAACCGAGTCCACACCGGGCTGTACATTGCACTGAATAGTCTTGTTCCATCGGGGATTCTTTGACCCATTCAGATCAGTGGGCGTCTCAAACACGGCATGGCCAACCCGAATACGACAGTAAGGGTCCATGCGCGTCATACCGTAGTTCTTTGCAAGCTTAGCCTGCAGCGGTGGGAAAAAGGAAAACACCTTGAACAGGGAAAGTTACGGTCTGTGTATGAAATGGAGAAAAACTTGATTTGGTAAACCATTCATTAAAAATGTCAATGAATATGGGCGATTCACAAAAGTTTGTAACGTGTTGACCAATCACAGTGCGAGAAATCTGTCAACCGTTTCCAAACGCGCATTGGGTCGACAAATTTCGCACACTGTGATTGGTCAACACATTGCAAACTCTTGGAGGTGCACTATTGTGAAACGCCCATATTTTTTCATAGTTATAAACCAAAAGTTTGGTTCTAAAAAGTCCACTGAATCAGAAAAATGTAGTCGCCAGCACTAGCCTTCTCACATCTTAGATTTACCTACAAATAACCACAAGTTGTGGTATCCACATTTTCCAATATTCCTCTCTTGACATGAACCCTGAGAAAACGGGAGAGTCTGAGAGTGCCCCTGCTTGATACAACTGCCCTTCCTGAGAGTCAGTTATGAAGACTTGGGACATGTGCCAGGGTAGACAGAGCAATTGTCAGACCGGGGAAGTCAAGGAGCTATACCTGCACAATTGTGATGCTCAGCCTTCCCACGTAGGGTCCTGCTGCCACCTGCATCCCGGCCTGTCCGTACTGTAGAGCTCGCGCTGTCTGCTCATCGGCCGATATCTGTAAGCTGTTCTGCGTCTGTCCGCCACTTACCCCCTGGATGCGAAGGAAATCTGGGGGAAGGTCCCCCACCATAACCTACAAATAAGAAAACCAAAAAAAAAAAAAAGCAGAAATATACATTTAACCATAGAATTTCTGTACAGAATTCCATCTGGTTAAAGTAAACATCTCTCTACAAAAAAAAAAACCTTGTTAATCTAAAGATTTCATAACAATGGCTCTTTGACCATCAGGTTTACAATTCGTTTTTTGCAAAATTTAAGTTCATGCTCACTGTTCACCATCATATGTGACCGGCTCTGCAAAAAGGTGTATTATGTCACATTTCTTTAATTCGAGTTATATATCAAATTGCTCACATCCTAAGTTTTCATACGATACATACATGTAATTAATCCCATTTTGGAATTATTTGTCATTTGCATATTCATATAATTTCATTTTATCACACATGCTTTTTGAGATAATGCCCTTTTAACATAACGAACAGCAACATTCAACTTAAATTACATGTAGATACTCTCTTGGTTTTCCTTAGCAACAGAGGCTTTCTGGTCAAGCAGTTGGCCTCAAAATATTTCCAAATATTTCACCCTCGGCACATGGAATGGGCCATTATGCATTTTTGCATTGTGCCACTTTTTTGCAGATAGAGTGGGTCACATATTATCAACATAATATCAAACGTTATACCTTATGTGCATATGTGCACAGTACATGCACAGCTTACACAAATTACTTCTATCGTATACATGTACAAAACTATCTGTCTAATCATTATCAGAGAGGGAATTATCTTTTCTTCATCACACAACACTAGAGCGATATTGATAACAGCAGCACTGTGCGCTGTGAAATCTGGGAATACGTGTAATTGCAAAGTTTTGAGTCTCAGTTTGCTGTTTAGTCAGTGGGATGGTACATATAGATCATTTATTATCATGATCGGATGAAAACATCGTGATTCCTCTTTCCAAAAATAGAGTCATGCTATTTAGCGTCAACAAGCATCATGTAGCGTCAACAAGGTGTCAACAAATTATTCAAGCATATTTATGGAAAAAAATTATATGTACAATATTAACTAGACATTTACATATCATATTCACTATATCACATACATGTATATGTATATCTAAAATAAATTTGAATGAGGAAATTGAGCAACAAAGTCGGTTCTGCTCATGCAGCCAAACCGGCCGCCATCTTGTTTTGGCATGGACGACAGAGAAAAAAAAGACGTCAGCCCCCTTACATCTTGAAAAAATTTCACTTTCTGCGTAAATCTGGAATAAAATTCCCTATTTTTCTCACACAGTGTAAAATGTTAGAGTCTGTCAAATATGTTAAAACCACTTTGAAACCTTTAGAAGATATTTTCAAGTTGCTGATGCTTTGTTGACACAGCTTGTGTGTTGACGCTTGTTAACGCTAAATAGCACGACCGCAAAAATATGGTCAAGCTGTGATGCAGTGGAGACATCACCACCAGCAGCAACATCCATAATTACATGGTATTATTTTACAAATTAATGGTACATAGGGCCTGTCAATCCTGCCTAAGGTAGTTAGAACTAGCAGGAGAGAATCAAGTGTTGTCCGTAGCATGCGTAGGCTGGATATCTTGCATGTCTTTCCACTCTTGTAGCTTAGGCCTACATGTACATTCACTGCTTACATTTTGCCTTGGATTTCTCGTTGTGGTTTCTGTCGCCATTGCTGTGAAACTGCTCGAAAAGTCGTATTTATGGCTGTAATTTAGCAAAACCAACGGGAGTTGAAACTACTGACTTCACTGTTGATAATATTTTGGACCATTACGTCAATGAAAGACGCCCTCTTTAGGTCAGTTAGTAAGGGGTCACACCACGCACGTTTCAAAGGGAAATTGAAGGCCATTGCAAATGTACAGGGGTGTAACTTTGATGATCATTTTCTCCCAGGTTTTCTGGCTGCATTCAGTTTTTTCATCAGAAAATCCAATTAAATCGTGTTTGCTATTAGTTTCTAATTTAAGTGTAATTTTCAGTGCTCTGTAAAAAAGACGGTATAATAATAATTTTTCCTGTGCGCACGAGCTACATGTAGACCGGCCGTTTCTTAGTGTGGCCCCTTCTATCATAAGCAGTATAAACTACCTCGGTAGTGTTCTTAGAGCCAACCTGTGCATTTGTAATAGCAAACACGATTGAATGGATTTTTTGAATAAAAAACGAACAAAGCCACAAAACCTGAGAGAAAATTGTCATCGACGTTGCACCTCTGTACATTTTCAATGGCCCACACACGTCTCAGCTCACTTACCACCAAGGTTGTTTATGCGCGCGCATATGTGCATAATTATGGTTTATTAATGAAAAGGTCTACCGCGCATGCCCCATTTTTAGGGTAATTTGCATGCGTAATAAGGGCCATGAGAACTCGCCCCAGACAAGCAGCTGTTTAATTTCAAGAAATTTACGTCTTCACTTTTGGAAATTAAAATTCCTGCCCAAAATATAATTCATGGTAATATAAGTCCTTTTCCAAAAGGGCGAAAATAACTTGAGAAATAGTACCATAGTGGTCAAAACTCGTGATTTTTGTGAAAAGCTCTTTTCGTAAGCGGTAGTTCACGTTTTGATCTGATTTTTGAAGGCTTGAGAAGAAGAATTCGAAGTTTTCCTGAAGTTTTCAAAAGTGGGCAGTGGTGGAGAAAGGTGTGAAGGTTTTAGATTTGCTGACGGTTTCCCACTAATTGTTTCTCTTCCCTACCAGACTCACTTGCATTTCAACCTAACTCATCACCGATTCTGTTTGTCCCGCTTAATTTAACGGCCTTGCGAATGTAAGAATTCAGTGACTCGGAAACGAAAGATGAACACAAAAGAACGGTAAGTTAGCATGAGGTTTATCATAGAAACCGAGGTCTATTTGTCATCACAGTGTGAAACACGATAATTGCTTCTCTTGATTTTCACGGGATTATAAAGATGAGCAAAGAAATTGATTGGAGCGGGATTTACACCTGGGTCCTCCGGAATCATACCGTACCGGTACTCTACCAACTACAGAAGCCCGTGAGGGCCACGGTGTGTTTCTCTTTCACGGCGGTGCGTTTCTCTTTCGTTGGTGTCAGTAACTTACTTAACTCGCGGCCGCGACTTAACTAGCGTGGTATGTTGTACTGTTTTGTACCATGGAAAGCAAATCCAGTAGCTTCCTAGATTCACAACGAAATTGAACCGATATTTTTAAGATGTGGAGAAGCTGTTGGTATGTAATATGTGATACATAAATACATTCATAAATGACCAGCAAACATTATTTGACCTTTAATGTAGCGCCATGCTCTCTATGGGCGGCCAAAAGATCAACAATAATTTTAACAAAAATGAACAATTACGAGCAAACAGAATCTTCTTCACAAAACAACCACCAAAAACCATTTGAGAATTATTTTGTATTTTCATTTACTGTTTTCATTTTGGGAACTTTTTGGGGCATATTGTTTTCAGATGTTGGTTATTTATTTTTTTAAATTATTTCTGTTATAAAGGTTTTAGAGTTTGTTTTGTGTTTTACCATTTACATTTTGATATGAAAATGTTGTTCGCCCGTGATTATTTATTTTTGGTGAGATTTATTTTTGTGGCATATAACTTTTAATTTTGTTTAATTAAATATTTTAATAAGTTGCTTCTCAAATGGTTTTGGTGGTTGTTTTGTGTTTTATTATTTGGATTTTTGAATAAGAAGATTCTGTTTGCTTGTAATTGTTTATCTTTGTTAAAATTAATGTTGACCCTTTTGGCCGCCCATAGAGAGCATGGCGCTACATTAAAGGTCAAATAATGTTTGCTGGTCATTTATGAATGTATTTATGTATCACATATTACATAAAACAGCTTCTCCACATCTTAAAAATATCGGCTCAATTTCGGTGTGAATTTAGGAAGCTACTAGATTTGCTTTCCATGGTACAAAACAGTACAACACACCACGCGAGTTAAGTCGCGGCCGTGGAGTTACTGGCAACAACGGAAGAGAAACGCACCGCCGTGAAAGAGAAACACACCGTGGCCCTAACGGGCTTCCGTAACCAAATGAGGTATCCAGCCCGATGTTGGTGACTTGTGCCAATTGTCCACATCTTTGCTCGGGGGGGGGGGCGCTAGCCAGGTAGCCTGAGGGATCACGCCCCAATAACACGATACAACCTGGGAAGTGGTGAACAGGGATCGCTCGGAGAGGATGCGGCTTTTTGAACTTTAATCATGAAACTAATGTATACAGAAAAACTGACTAGGTGTTTACAAATGATAATACAGATGATCAAAGAAATTGATTGGGGGGCGCTAGCCAGAAGCCATGGCCTTCCGTGTGTCGTATGGTCGCGCGCACTGAACTGTTGGCGAGGAGTTTGCTCATGTGACCGCGCATCCTTCGATAAACGTGTGCAACGACAGCTAGCAGACAGGAGTACCGTTTGAACTTTGTACCGTTATAAAATTGACAATTGTCTACCTCAGTTGAGCGTATAGCAAAATGAAATGGAAGATCACATGCACTATATAAATAGGGACATTAATTACAATTAAATAAGCGTCCCGTCACCACGGCTCGGAATGACCTGTTTCTATATAGCAGATGTCATTTTATATAAAGTCCAAACATCGGGATCGAAAGCCGATCCATGGGCCATCAAAATCCTCAATTAGTGCTCCAAATTTTACAACGATGAAAGATCCCCCTTCAATTCATCTAAAGGTTCTGCCGGGTAACATTTACATAATTGCAATGACATTATACATTTAACATGCAATAAATTAATAAGTCTGACATGTGACAACGCGCAAGACGTACTCTGGAAGCGGATCTAATCGACTGCGCTAAGTGTACTTTCAAAACCAATCATCGGCAATCAACCTCACTTGGATAATGAGATGCATTACATATGGCATTGGTGGCGTCCAATGGGCAGGCAGGCCATTTATGCATCATAGAAAAACGCGTTACGCCGTTACCACGCCCGATGACGTAGTCAGAAATACTACCCTGTCTCTTTCAGAGAAGTTCCATTCCAATGCTGAAAAATCGTTTATCGAAGAAGACCCACTGGGATTGTGCAATAAATTTGTACATTTTGTTTCACAACTTTGTGTATGTTTCACAACTGGTGACATCGACAACACATGAAGAACTAGTGCAGCAACATATATGGCCCGCACATTTTCACCTAGAGATAACATGCAGAGCTCGACCGTTGATTTGACACTGATCCTGGCCATTGGCGGTGAACTTTCCAAGAAGAAGACCGACTAAACGAGAAAACTCACAACGTCGTGGAGTTTCGTGCGTAATGCATACGCTTTAATTTCCAGTTTTCGTATTAACAAAACGGAACTTGTCTCTACGAGAATTTTGTGGACAATGTCGTTGATGGTGATAAAACGCAAGGACTTTGTCTGAAAACAGCAGCCAACCGAAAGGCCTCGGTAATCCTGTTGGATGCTTTGCATTGTTAGTAACAAAGGTGAGTCCAACCTTTAAGGCGGTCGTAACTGAGGTACGTCTCAAACTGACAATAGTATTTATTTGTCGCCGCAGACATTGCGAGACTGAGGTGCATTTAGATTTCTTACATGCAAATCCTCTTAACGCGTTCACTGTTTCCATATTTTGACTGTGTACGCATAGGCTACTGCTGCATCAAAGGTGTGTCTTTCCCCGGCCGGATCACCATGTTACCTGTGGCGCCCAACGATACCCTGGCCGGAGTGTGCAGCGAGGACACTCCGATGCACTGCATCGGCTGGACGGTGTCTATTTCCCTCATACTCGGCATTATCGGTGTTGTGACAGTGGTCGGAAATATTTTAGTGATTGCTGCATATTGCAGGGATATTCGCATAAGGTCGTGTGTTTCCAACATGTTTATATTGAATTTGTCCATCAGTGATTTGATTGTGGGAGCGGTGTCTTTGCCTATGAATTCTGTGGCACTTGTCCTGGGCCGATGGCCCTTTGGAAAAATCCCATGCCAGTTGTGGATCGCTTTGGACTACTCTGCGGTCAACGTTGGCGTGAACATGATAATTTTCATCAGGCTCGACCGATACTGGTTGGTTACCAAGAAACTTTCTTACAATACATTTCAGACGCGTAAACGCGCTGCTACTATGATTACGATTGCATGGATTAGCAATGTGTTGTTTTTCACCTTGGTCACATTTACTTGGGGCCCGTTGGTGGGCGTCTATAGAATAGATTACGACCATGAATGTGACATTGAATCTGTTGACAGTGTTCTTTTTTCAGTATTTGAAATTTTGGCCGAGTTTGTCATTCCAGTGTCGCTCATTCTATACCTGAATGCCGCTGTTTACATCAACATCAAGCGCAGATCCCTTGGCTTGTGTCAAAAGGCAAACATGCCTGCTGAGTTTCCAAAGCCCGCCGAGGGCGCCAGTGGTGATAACTGTGCGGGCAATGAAAGACGCATAGAATTAACTGCCAAAAGACAACAACATGACATGGCTCAGTCATTGCCTCCAGTAATGTCAGCTAGCGAGGGAATAACAGAAACTCCGGAGCGGGGGGCTTGTGTCAGTGTGGGATTTGACGAGCAATCCAGGGATACCGATTCTCAGATCGAAACTGCCATAGTCGACAGGAAAGCTGACGAAACGGAAAGCAACGCCCAACCTTCAAAACCCGAGAACAGACTTCAGCCTTCAGGACAACATCGAACTAGTCAGCTCAGAGAGTTCAGACGTCACCGTAAAGCAGCAATCACCTTATCAGTACTCGTTGGCGTGGCAATATCAGTATGGCTGCCTTTCTATGTCACGTCACTAATTTCATCTGTCTGTCACGACTGCGTCTCCAATGTTGTCTGGAACGTGGTCATTTATCTACTGTGGTGTAATTCCACATTAAACCCATTCATCTATGCACTCTTGGTGGTGCGTTTCCGAGAGAACATAATACACTTTTTGTGTCTAAGAGCTTGCAGGAACCGCAATGGTCGAAAGTGAAAGTTCAAGTGTGGCATTGCATTGAATGAGTGCAAACTAAGGGTGTTGATGAAAAAGGGTGTGGTCCAAATATTTCCGACGTCAGAGTTTGAATTTCATAAAATGCTGTCTCTATCTGAAAGACGAATTGCTCACATAGTCAGGACTTGTAATGAATCTACTACACGTATGACACGTTCACACTGACAGTGTCACGATCACAACCCCCCCACGTAGTACGGCATATACACTTATAACACACATGTGATCCTTTTCACCACACCGAACTGACTAAAATGTAAAGCATTAAAAAAAAACTTACCTGGAGTACAAATTTGTAAATAAAATTAATAATTAAATCCCTGACAATCTTGTTTTAAAAGCCAAAACATCTGAAAAGATTCTGTTCGCCTGAATTAAAGCAGCTAATGCCTTCATGAGGTATCATTTCCGTCTTCCAGTTGCTACGCAGCAGCCCAAGTCACTGTACTTGCATGGTAAAACAATACCCGGTGGACGAGCCAAAACAGCTAGGCCGTTGGCCCTTTCCAGCAAAATTGTTTTATTTTGGGGGAAGAATGAGAAAAATGCAATTTCGGGGACTCCTTCCCTTTCTGAAAGCGTGCAAAAAGGCCCACAATTCAGCGCCCCGCCCCTTGGAAAGGCGTTTGATAAATAAATTTACAGAAATCTACTAAAGTTTATCCAACCATGTGTACGCATAAATTGAAGGCTTAATTGTCCAATCGCACCTCGCCTAGCGCAAACTACGAGACTGCCGCATTGCACTGTTCTTCATGTATTTTAAGTTTTTGGAAGTGATGGGTCAACTTTTGGCAGGATATTTCTCCTCTAGGTCAGGTGATTTTTCAGTTTCTATTAATTGATATACTAGCAAATATTTTCAAAAGCCCCTTTTCCGAGTTGGATTTTTCAAGAAGTAACTGAACGAAAAATTACAAATTCTACAATTTTTGCACATTATTTTTCCTATCAAATGGTTCCGGAAGCGTGCTATCAGGGGTCAACTTTTAGGTTCTGTACGCATGCATGGTTGAAATGTTTGTTGCCACCGAGAGATTTAAACAGCTGGCTCAAGCGCATCCGATTACTTCCCCCTTGGGTCGTCCCACTAGCCATCAAAGGATGCTCTGAATGGCAAATGCACGACGTAATAATTTTTGTCGAGCACTCACCAACGGATATAGAGTTCATTAGATTTTTAACACATAGCAAAGGAGTAATGGAATAATGTGTTATATAAATAAATATAATAAAGTTCCATCCGAGCTTTTGTCATCAATCTCCTGGAGAAGTTTCGAATCATCCTCAACTTCACTCATGTCTGATTCCTCTTCAGCGTGAATTTTTCCCATGTGTCTCTGTAGATTAAGCTTCCGTCCAAAGCATTTGACACATTGGTGACAAACATAGGGCTTGAATGCAGAAATAGGCATGTCGACCCTTGGAAGGGTGATCTTGACAAAAAACAGGTGGAATCGTTCATTATATAATGTATATACATAGACATGTACTATGTATTTCACTGCTCGTGTTTGCTCTTTTCATTGTTCAGTGGCTCTTTTCCTATTTCTCATTTGCTTTTTATTGTTAACATTGCTCTTTCATTGTTCATTTTGCTCTTTTTATTGCTCATTTTGCTCTTTTAAATGCTCATTTTGCTCTTTTTATGGCTCAAATGACATTTTAAAAAGGACATTTATAAAAACTAAACATTAGTCGAACTCAATCAAATTATTACTTTTTTTTGCAACTCATTTGGCCACAGAGGTATAAGAGCTGCAGCTCAGTCAACTCACGTCCAGTCTTTTAGAGGAGCGCAATCGCATGGAGTTTAACTGTGAATGAACAATAAATAGAGCGAATGAGCAGTGCAAAGAGCAAAATGAGCAACGAAAAGAGCAAATGAACAATGAAAGAGTTCAATGAAAAATGAAAAGAGCAAATTAACAATGACAAGAGCAAATGAGCTGTAAAAAGAGTAAATGAACAATGGAAACAGTAAAATGAGCAATGAAAATGGCAAAATGAACAATGAAAAGAGCAAATCACGAGCATTAAATACATTTACATCTCTATGCAAATACATTATATAAAGAACGATTAATTTGTTTCTGGTCATTTAAAGATCATCCTTCCAAGGGTCAACATGAATATTATTTCTGCAGTCAAGCCCTAAATTTGTCGCCAATGCGACAAATACTTTGGACATAAGTCTAATTACGAGAAGCACATGGGAAATATCCACGCTGAAGAGGAATCAGACATGAATGAAGTTGACCAACTCTAAACAGAAATCTCTATTGAGTAAAACTGAAAATGTTGGTTACAAAAATGACAGAATTGCAACAATACTTGATAACACTTGGTAAAATGAGGTCCAAGTAACATTGTAATGATATTGTTACAACATAGTTCATTGTAATAACGTTATTACAATGACACATGAACCCTGTCTAACAACACCAACAGTCACAACATTCACTTTAACCATAGTATTTTGAAACATCCCTAGCAGATAAACGTTTGGTATGGTTTGCTTTGGTTGGGTTTGGTTTATTTCACATCTTTGTCAACATTGCAGGTAGATGAACAATGAAAATAAATTCAGAGTAACAAGATACACAATGTTGTTATTATTATATTAATTCATATACAATAAACGAAGACGTAGGATGCTGGGGAAAAAGCTGAGGCTTATACGAGACCCAGCATCCTGTCTTACTATGAACATTCCATTTCTACACGTTTATGACAAAATATAAGTTACATCAAATTGTCTCAATACAAAACAACTACATTTAGCTGGTTCAGGATTAAGGCAGTTAACGATTAGAAATTAGGTCTTCTGTATCTTGTATTGATGAACGGTACGTGTTGGGGATAGGCAGTTTAAGCTATAACATTAATAACATTTTCATTGCATCAAATTGAAAATCGGTTTTATTTTTAACAAAGTTATTTGTGCCAAAAGTTTTGAACGTAATTGTGTGATTCCTAAACATTATTGACACTTTCATAGACCCAAACGTCAATGAAAATACATTTATCAGAGTATTTGACTTTTTTAAAATATTTATTCAACGTCAGTTACGTCTAAAACTAGTGTTATTCCGAAACATCATCGAAACATTTCAGAAACAAAGCGACAATGTTAAAATGATATTTAATAAGCATCAATATGCTTCGTTAATTTTCTTTTTCAAATATATCTAAAACGTCAGATTGTGATATTTAATAACAATTTATGATGTTTATTCAAAAAAGTTACAAAATTTTTAGTATACTATTTGTATGATATTTTCTGATCATGGTAGCTACAGTTTTACAGGTACATTATGTCAACACCGTTTTCATTTTAACTTGGAACCATCGATAAATGTTGTTACTATGATGTTTTAAAAATATTGAATCACCTGAAATGTATTTATTGAATAAGAGAGTTTTAAATATTAATAGGTGATGCTGAAGTGAATTATTTAAACGTATGTGGATGTTACGTTGATTCAAACACTAATAACACATTTTGAAAATGTTATCAACACCGGTATATCACATTTCCTTGATATTTACTCAGCATATTGGCTACAGCAATACAAATATATTGAATTCACACTATTCAAGCATTTCCGTACCACTGTAATTGTTGCTGTAGCAGTTGTGCAGCAAAATCTCTGTTTAAATCTAAGTCAAAATTACACATTGTGGTTTCTCTAATCCCACAAGTCTAAGAATTCACTGTATAATCTCTTTTCTGATACACTTTAATAGTTTGATCTTGCATTACATGTCTGCAAACCATTACATCATATTTAGGAGGTTCAACCTAATTAGCATAAGCTCATCGCCAGGGCATTTGGATAGCTGTGCCTTTTGATACACATGCATTGTGATCATTTTTCTCAAACATGCAGTCAACAGTGTCTGGTTTGTAAATTTCACCCCAAAAAGCTTTCTATAACCAAATTGTATTTTCAGAGTTTAATTAAAATGCGATTCCCAGATCATTCATGTGATTTATAGCCCGTAAGAGAGCCCTTTGTGGTGAGTTAAGTTTTATTTTGACCCTGGAAAGAAACGATGAAAATCGGGAAAAGTTCATGAGATTGTCAGTTAAACTAAAGTGTGCTTAATGTTGTAGTATACACACACCCACCCACACAATGCACCACGTTCATGTAGATGTACCTACCTAGGCCATCTTTTCTCGTGGTCATACTTGGGTTATGATGTGATTAGTATTTTTCCATTTATTTTGATTAATTTTCAGATTGTTATCAAACGTCTGGGACTTATAGTGTTTATTGTGTAACACCTATCACCTAAAGCCTACATTCAACTTGTGAAGTTGTGTAAATGACGCAGTTGTCATTAGCCAGTAGCCTAGCTCCTTTGACAGTACAATTGCACAGTTGTTCTTCCCATAATTTTGTAAAACCTAAGACAGGCGTTTGAATAATAATCACGGGACACAGATGCAGAGAAGTCTTGTGTATTTGTTAAGAGTAGACCGAAACTCCTCTTGGAGTCAAGTGACTTTTTGAGGCAGTCATAATAATAATGTTGAAATGATGCTGAGAAAATATCACATCTGCTCAACACATTTTAAAAATTAACCCATTTCAAAGAATCCTTGGTGATGCTTACGTCTATTCAAAGATTTTTGAATTGTTTTAAGAATGTTATTATCACTAGATGATACGTCAAAATAACAGCTCTTAAACATCTTAAGCACTGCTCTAAATACACGTGCAGGTAACATTGTCAAAACATAGGCGAACACATTTTATAACTGCTAAATGATGTAATAAATATATAACTTTAGCAATATCTGTTTTTCGCTGTAAAACCCGTTTCAAATATTTCTCAAAAACAATTAGATAGCATCAATGTCTCATGAGCCGTGCTGAGGAAGGGTAGTAGTTTTACTACGTACACCATCAGTTCAAACAGTCAGTGGTTGTTTTACAACACATCTCCCACACGGCTGCGGCGATCAGGCGTATAGTTTGCTTGGTAGCAAGTGAATAATATACATGTACTTTGGTTAACTGCTTCGGGTATAGGTCGCCATGCAGAAAGATAGCAAAAATTGTACGATGTGACTATCTCTCGATCAATCCAGACACAGAATCTGACATGTGGGTGAGGTATTATGATTCCACTACAATTATCAATTCTTCTGAAGTATTTACATCGATGCCAACTTTCCTTCGCATCGTTAGTTTCGTTAACTTTATCAGTTTGTTCTGCAGTTTCAGCGTTTCATGACTGTACACTCAGAGTGCAATTTTGACATTAAGATCTGTCGGATTCTTCATTCAACTCGTCATTTCACTGTTTCATCTTGCAAGTTTACTGTTTCATTTTGCAATAATTTTTCACCTTTCCATTGGGCAGTTTACATCACTTTTCCGCGCAGGAATTTCACTATTCTATTCTATTCTGCAGTTTTAAATTTGCTATTCGCGATTTTGCTATGCGCCAATTCGACTGTGTAGTTTCACTATTCGTTTTTGTAATATCACACCCAATGAGGCGACTTCAAAATTACGTTCTCCAATTTCACCATTCAGTTCTCTAAATTTATGGTATGTGTTTCAATTTTATCCTTTTGACAGTGCAAATTTATTATTTTACCTGTCTAATTCATCTGAATAATTTCTTGGAAACATTGTTAATTTAAAAAAAATCAATTGTTCATTTCTTTCAAATTCGATTACATGCGTTGGAGCACTCAGCTATTCGATTTTATGTGTAATCATTGTGCTCAGGCAAACTCTTCGTTTTATTCTGCGAGTCATGATTCCGTTTGGCAAAGTCATCATCCTGTGCTGCTTCCCCTTTTCTAGACTGAAATATACCCGTAATCTGAAATTATAAACGCACAGAACTATAATAGGCTGGGGGAAGTATAGACAGGAAAATGTTCAACTGTCATCCTGGACGATAGATGGCGCCATGACTTGTTTGAGTTCGCAGGCAGCGAATAATTTATTAATCAAGCTAGCGCATTATCTTTTCTAAGTGTTGTGAGGAGATTACTCTCTAAATTCCAAAGAGTGAAATTTCACTCTATTCGAGTGAAAATTCAATCCCTCCGATTGAAATTAAGGACCAGACGAATTGGAGTGAAATTTTGTCACTCCAAAAGATTGAAATTTCATTCGAGCTTCCACTGGAAGAAGCTATTTTCAGCCTTTTTCAGTCTAAAATCAGAGTGATTTTCATTCTAAAACGTATTGTCCCTAATTTCAATCTTTCCGATTTAGAGAGTATAAAATTTTCTCCAGTTCGTTTTTTTGAGATCTGTATTGAGAACGTCTCTATTTTTTTTTTAACAAATCGTTTTGAGGAGATACATATTTTTTGGAATTCTTGTAATGAGTGAGAAATATCCCATAAAATAAAAGTGATCGAAAATACATCGCGTGAAAACAAGGTTGACAGGAAAATGCAGCATAAAAACGAACTTCGAAAAAATATAGGCCTTCTTCATGATAAAACGACTTTGAAAGAAAACTGTATTTTTAAAGATTTACTTGATGGCACCACGGGGCTTTCGTACATAATCTGTGAGTTGGCAAGCACCACATGCAACATTGAGCCAAAAATTCAAGTTTCATAGGCTGAAAATCCGTCTGCCGATGGTAGAAAGTGCGAAACAGCATGCTTAATGGCCGAGATCGAGGACGAGCATGGACAGGGGGAAGTTAAATTGGCTGCTTGGCGTGTTCTCTATGGAGGACGACGGTGGCATGATCTGCTTGTCTGCTATCAGAATAGCAGACAAACAGATTTTAAGTTCGTGTAGCATGCAATTTCGACTTTTCTACTTTTCTGTCACATGCATGAAAAGCAGAACGAACATTGCTTGGTTATACATACTCCATTTTTATGCTCAGTTTTCTGCTTCAAGAAAAGCAGATATTTCTTTTTCTTCGTTCGCTGGCGGCCGTAAAGTGGCCGTCTGCTTTTCTCCTGTCGAACATGCAGGTATAAGGATCGGACGTTTTGACAACAACTGTGAATTCTACTTTTCTGCTTTTTTTTATAACGGAGAAGCAGATAGGTGGCCGAAAAGTGGCCGCCATCTGCTTTTCTGCCTTGGCAAAGGGTCGTGAACCTCAGGTTATGACCATGCTTTCTACCCATAATTAAGGAGGATGAAAAGTGGCCATCTGCTTTTCTGTCCTCAATGGGCAGTGAATGGGGTCATGAACCGGTAAGTTACAACCATTTGTTCTGGAGGAGTGAAGACATATAGAAACAAATACTTAACCAATGCTTTCCGCGGACCAATTCCATGCGGCAGTATCAGTGTCCCTGTCAGGCCGAGAAAACAGCATCTCAAAAGAAATACAGTTTTGCAACTACCATCCATGCACTGATAGACACACAAGCTTGCTTGGGCCAAGGAGAAAAGGGGGAATCTTTCATCATAAAAGATAGGGTGGACTGTAATTACTGGTTTATACGTTTTCGATCCCCAAGAAAGGAAATGGTAATAACCTGAGGTTCACGACCCCGTTCACGGCCAAGTTGGAAGGCAGAAAATCAGATGGCCACTTTTTGGCTGCCTATGTAAAATTGCTCCTCCGGTATGAAAAAAATAGCCTGCTCGAAAGGAGAAAAGCAGATGGCTGCTTTTCGGCCACCTGCGAATGAAGAAAAAGTAAAATCTGCTTTTCTTGAAGCAGAAATGCAGAAAAATAGAAAACTGCATAACCAAACGTTCTGCTTTTGAGGTGGCAGAAAAGTATAAAAGTCAAAAATTCATGTTACCGGAACATGAAATCTGCTTTTCTACCATTCTGATAGCAGAAGAGCAGATGGCGGCCACTTTTCGTCCTCCATACTGAGCTGCAGTCAAACTTCACTCCATAAGTTAACACGCCAACACTTAGGGGTGACATGTATCAAGCCCCTTTTCCAACAAGCGCACGGTGTGGCACGTTTTGCGAGTTTAAAGTTGTTGAATCTCAGTGAACTTCATCAAACTTTGTTAAAGACTTGTACCAAAAAGGGACGACCTGATAAGCACACACAGAGCCTATACATCAATTGGTTTACTTTGGGTAACTGGCCTTGTGTAAGTTCAAGTTCAATTAAAAGTCACGAGGCTTTATGTCCATTGAACAAACGAGGGCATGTCAAATAATCACAACGGGAAACGTAAAATGTACTGCGCAACAAATGTCTTGTGATCGTTGTCTGGTACCCAGACGCTAAGGGAATATAAATCCACTTTAAAGTACATGTAGATGACCTTTGTACATGTTTGCGGCCAGCTAGCGTAGCTAGTTGTCGTTACGAAACTCCGTACACTCTGCCTTTTGCATCGTATCGCTTGAGAGTGTTAGACGTACTGTGCCAGGGTGTCGCATCGTCTGCATCGGGAGCTGTTTTACTGTTAGAAGCTGCTATCACGAGTATCATCAAGCACCATGGCAAGTCGGGACAAGGCTACGAATCAGATGGAGGAATACAAGAAGACGTTGGTAAGATTTCGCCAAACCATTTAGGTTTAGGGGCCCCAGCCCACGCTCGAGCGATATCATCAGTGACATGAAAAACACCAGGTTGTTTGCATTTACATACATGTACATTACATGACACTTCGACAATTCACCTGATCGTACTGTGCCATAACTACAGTCTAAACTGACCCTACCAGGCGTGGTCATTTTTTGATTGATCAGCAATCTAATCATTGAAATAACACAACGTCAAACTTGAAAGATAGAGAAGTAGGCTAGGCCTATCTGCTGGTCAAATTTTTATGTCTAACTTTGTAATCCTAGACATGCTACTGCAAACATGACAGATGATCTCCCCATCGTCTACCGCCATCCGGTATACTTTGCCCTAGACTAGTCACATCTAGTGTTTGTTATAATAAAACTGGCAACATGGATGTCAGATGTGTTCTTATTCCTCCATAATTTGTCACAGAGCATTGTTGGAAACAGTTGACAAAATTATTCATGAGCTGTGTGTGGCAATGGCAGCATGGTGATTGTCAGGGAAGAAAGTTTTGTTTTTCATGTAAGAAGTGGTGGCCCACTATACTGTGATTTGCCCATATTGTGTAATATTAATAGTGCATGTACATGTACACTCCCATTTGGGTTGCATACGTGTGTGAATGCTGCAAAATCTAGGATAAGACTGCTTTTATGGTTTACCAGTAGCACACAAAATGTCAAGAAGTCACATATTATTCTTAACCTATATGGTACTATTTGCAAAAAATGAGGAGGGAGGAGGGTTTTTTTTAGAAACACTTTGGTATGCATGCTGATCTGGACTGCTGCAACCACGGAACGAAAGCGCAATGTTCACTTCAGACTCATTCACAGAGGTGCACATGACATTGTGTGTATGTACTCAGGTCGCACATTGTGCGTGAACGAGGTTGTGTGGGCATTGCAGAAACTACGCGGAATGGCTAAGGACATCAGAAAAGATCACTTTAAAAAATATATATGTGGCAAGATTTTTTTAGGTGGGCGCTGATGCTAAACTAATTATTTTTTTCATGTGGCCTTATTGCGACCTCAAAGCATTGTACTGTAGATGCAGAGTACACTGCCCAACATCAAAATCATGTTTTGTCAATTGAACCTGTCCTTTTGTCAGTGTCATTGTTTCAAGTGAGGTAGAAATGGTACCCTCTAAAATAAAAAGAAATGGAAGAGAGTGCCTGTAAAAAAGCTGGGTTTTTGTCTTACAAGTTACAGTTAACACGTACATGTACAAAGGAATTAAGTTTCAAAAGGAAGTTTTTATATTAATAAAGTATTTGGGGGACAGAACTACGCGTGTACGTGTACTGTACGTGGATGTATTGCATGCTAGGTTTAAAGAACATCACATTTGTTCATCTGTTAGTATTCATGATCAAATGTACATGTACACGATTTTTTCATAATGTTGCATCAGTGAATGAAAGTAAAGCTGTATAATAATCCCATGACTTGCATTTCTACTTGTAAGAAAAAACTACATTGTATAAAAAGTGCAAGTCACTATAGTATGTCTACTTGCCTGGATAGGTTATTCAATACAGAAATGACAGTATTTATGAGTTCTCTACAGTCTGTATTGTTTGCTCAAGGGGGCGGGGCTACACTGAAGTTCAGTGGTCTGAACTGGTACCCGTGTGTAGTTGTGTACATGTACTGTACATGATGCCAGTTGTTTATTCTTTCACTTGGCCTATTCCACTGGGGCCGCTGAATTTGCATCCAGGGCTGCTCGGTGGGCAAATTTATAGCCTGACTCTTTTGACGGGATCTGACCCTGTTCGTCTGATCTGGCAAAGATTGATATTGTGCCTTGACCCAAGTGAACCCCTTTGGTTGCAAGTGCCTTTTATCTTCCATCCATTTATCCAGCTAGTGTAGCAAACTTTAGATAATGAGGCCTAAGTTGCATGGGGGTGCGTGCATGTGCCGTGTACAAATGCACTTTGAATGCAAACCTTTTCAGCACATCTGAGTCTGTAGAAAGACGTCTTTCTGATGCTTTATGTTTCATTCATGTTCAGTTGTCACAAAAATTGTGAAGGTTGCCCCCCAAGTTTTTTATAAAGTTTCATTTAAGGTACAGCTCCGGGAACAATTGCTGAATGTGTAAAGTTGAATTTGTCTGGTGGAGTACACACAGAGACACACGTAAACACGTACCTACACGTACATGTACGGAGTACTTGATATTGATCAATATGTACATGCATGTACATATATACATATGGGTTGTTACCAAAAAACACCAGAAAGTTCAAGGGTAAACAAGTGCCACCCTGAGTCAATTGTTACCAAAGCAACTGACCTTTTCCCTGCAAAGGATTGCAGTCAGAGGTCTGTTTAATGACCCCTTCCTTGCGTTCAAGGAAATTGACAAACAACAAAAGTGAAGGATTGATAAGAGGGCACCACATGCAAAGTTGAATGGATACTTTTCCTGTCATGTCATGCATGCGGGTTCCTGTGACACTTCATCTGAAGTATATTACATGTACAGCAGAAGTGAGAAATAAACAAGCATATTGTCGTACATGTACTTGTTCATGTATTCCATTTGAAACAATTTGGCAATGCCATTTACAATTAGTGATACTGTCAAAACATGTTGGGCCTGACATGTTTTTATCCTAGCTTCTTGCAGTTTACTAAAACTCAGTCTCGCAGGTATTTAACACTTGGTTTTATGCATGCCCGTACACCTGTACTGTAACTGGCTCATTACTTTCCATTTCCATGGTGTAATTTCCCTTGTGTGCGTGAACATGTACATGTACATGTACCGTGTGTGTAGGCCTACATGTATGTAGCGCAGTTGGGAAATGTAATGTGCACATGTACGCTAACCATGTACATGTACATGGGATTTTACGTGTATTTCAATGGTATACCAAAGCATAGGAAAGGGAAGCATGCAAGTACCGTGTACAGAGTGTAGGTTTACGTACTCAGCATCTGTACCTTACATTTTCCTGTTCAACGTTACGCCTGATGTACATGTACATGTATATTGTGCTAGTACACCGTACTGTAACTATTTAGCCGTACATACATGTACACACTATTTGATGGGAGAGACAGTATTTGGATGGGTAAATGACTGTCAGTCTTGGTGTGGTGATGGTTCAGTATAAGCATACAGGTACATGTAGTTGTGGCAAATTTGGCAAATGTACAAACAATCACCTGTCTACAGCCTTAAGATACAACAATCACATTGTAGTCTACAGAAAAATTGTACAGCTTTGCCATTATGCTCGGTACCCCACTTTGGCATTAATAAATTGAAGGGCTCTACCATGAGGTCATGGTACGAGGACTCGGTGTGTACGTTTTGTAACTCGTGCTGTGTACATGCTTGAAAAGTTGCATGACCTTGGTTATGAAAGTGGAGATTTCCATGGGAAAACTGTCAGGAAACAGGACAGTATATGACATCACTGTGTGGCCTTGTGCCAGGAAACAACTTTTGTACCTGTTTCATAAGGAATTCAAGTCTTGGAATTTTGTTTTGCAAAGTCACCAGTCACACAGTACAGTACATGTACTTGACTGAACCAAACACAAATCTTGCAGTGATTCAGTAGAAACCACGGAAACAGAGGATGTGACGTAATGCAATATATGCATTACTCATGGATCCAGTAACTTTACAAGCAGTCCGAGAGAACTAATTTAGAAAATTGCCTCTTTATGGAAATTACAGTATTGCATTATTTGAAGTATGTATGTAAAAACAGAATTTTTCAACTGGATGGTTTCAGAATTGCGCATGTACCGGTAGGGCCTACTGGGTATCAGTGCGCATGATATTTACTCATGTGCATATGTACCATACCCATGTATGTTAATAATCCATACAATGTACATGTACATGTATGTACATGTATCTTGTTAATATCCTTTTTGTACCAGTATTTCATTTTTAAACAATACAAATCTGGTACATGTACTGTCCATGTATGTGACTGTAGCATTTATGGGTGTGGGTGGGGTAGCATGTGTACTTGCAGTTCTTGGAGGCTGTACTGAAACGTTTGATTTTGCCACAGTTTGTCATTTTTATGTCTCCCTAGAGAACAATAATATACATGTACATACATGTATACTGTACAGCCAAGAATACAGTGTACATTGTACAAACGTACATCATGTACATGTACACGTACATGTTTCCTCTCTCCACTTACGGTGCAGGTATTGTTCAGGGTCCAACACTGAACGCCAGCACAGCTTTTGTGATGGAAGGTTTCTGATGTTCTTTTGTTATCTATTCAGTCATCTAATGCAGCAGTAGCCTTATTGGGCTGAACAGGTAATGTGAAAGGGCATTGCAAAATGAAGACAAAGAAAGATGATATTTACCAAAAGCCTTTCTTCTTTCTGAAAATGTGTAGTCTCCACACACATACATGTACATTCAAAGATTTGACATCAGGCCTTAACTGTAATCTTATGTTTAACTGGCCTGCGAGGCAAGTTACATGTACGGTAGCTTATATTTTTTTTATAGTCCATAGGAACTTTCACTTCCCAGCAGTTTCTACTAGAATTTGTGTGTACATGTAGTTCTAGTGCTGTCGGTAAGGTTGAGGCCTGCATTTCTGTACATACACTTAGCCTGTAAAGTGTTGTATGATCAAAAGTTACTTGTTACAGTTTGAGTACATATACATACCGGTATGTACATGTACAAGTCGCAAGTTTGTTCTGAGCCAATTTGGCTCATCACGCCAATGATGAAACATTGAGAATACCAGTACCAGTATTTCTTCCCCCTCCTCCCCCATGGGAGGTCAGTCTTACTGCGGGTTGTTCCCTAGCTGATGCTGGTACCCATTTAGATACATATGTATACTCCTGGATGGAGAATTGGAGATAGAGGCAAGCGGTGGTGAAGTGGCTCGCCCACAGCCACAACCAATTGTCGCAACCGTTCCGATTTGAACCTGGGACCTTCTTGAGTCATGCACAGAACGTTACCGTTATTAGGCCACACTCCTTGGCTTACTGTATATGATTGGTGGTCCTTGAAATAGACCAAGATCTGCAATGAGAGTTCCAATAAGTATGGGAAAACAATCCACACCTGCCATCCTGTATACTTCCGGTAGATTGATTGATTGGGCTTATCTGTTGAATGATACATGATTATGTACTCCACCCTATGCCCAATGCACAGGACAAGATGGACCGGCTGACCACGTCAACTGGCATGCCCATCGACAACAAGCAGGCCACGCTGACGGCCGGGCCACGGGGACCGGTTCTCATGCAGGACTTCGCCTTCTCGGACGAGATGTCCCACTTTGGCCGGGAGAGGATCCCTGAGCGCGTCGTGCATGCCAAGGGGGCAGGTCAGTGGGAGACAGAATGCCATAGATTGAGCTGTGTCGTACATGTACCTGCCCCTTTCTGTTAATGAGTTTTCAGTGCACAGCTCAAACTTGAAGAGAGTGACTTTGAGGATGATCAGGCTCTTTCTAAATTAGTTTGTGGTGTCCATATGTATGTGATGTAATGTACCTGTTCATAATGTTTGTATGTGATCAGAAGATCTTCTTTAACCTTAGGATTAATTTTGACGAATCACATCAGAGTTTGTAGATTCAGGACCAGCAAGCCTTTCACAACAAAATCCTGCCAGAAAATGCAACTTCAATGTTTAATTTTGACACAGACACAAAGCTGTGGACCCAGGTAGTGCCATTAACTTTAGGTGGTCCCAGCACAGCAATCTTGGCATGACGTGAGGCATTTTCCAGCACCAAATACCAGTTGTTCAGTCTATTTGAGCACGTCTTTCAAAAGGAAGAATTTGAAGAGGAATTTGACCCTCCTCTGGGATTCATTCAGGTAGTATCTATTCAAACTCTGTAGTTTATAGGGTAGATTATAGAATCAAGCAATCTTTATTGCAAATAACGACTGACGAAGTCATTCATCTTCTCCTGCTCTCTCCCCCAGGTGCTTTTGGATATTTTGAGGTGACTCATGACATCAGCGAATACACCAAGGCTTGCGTCTTTGAGTCCATCGGCAAGAAGACCCCGGTCGCTGTGCGCTTCTCTACCGTCGGTAAGTTCGTTCACCAGGCTGCAGCTTGGATAGTTCCCATGGTCATGAAATAGCTCCAGAAGAGGTTCTCTCAATAGTTTAATTGTGGGGTTGGTTTCGTCTTCCCTCCTCTTTTTTTCTCATTGAGATTTGTGATGACGATTCATAGTGAGTTTTTCTCCTGATCCTTTCCCGTATCAAGGACAAACATTAAAAATCCTTTGGCATACTTCTGACAGTTACGGAAATTGCCGTAGTGACAAAAGTGATTGCTTATACGCTTGCATCAACTACAAGGTCATGCCAGGAGTGCCCTTTGTGCTGGTGGAAAGATTGCGGTCAAGTCACGTCTGAAATTTCTATCTTTGTGTACGGCTCTTAGAACTGCAGTATTCTTCAAAATTCATAAGGAATATGGCTTCTGGCTGTCAGTTGCCGTTGTGGCCACATGGCAAATATTTACCATTTTTGACTATGATTGTGAGCAGTTGGTGAGAAGGAAAAAAATAGCACTTAGCACTTCATAAAAAGTAGGTGACTGCGAAAAAGTGCAGTTAGCCACATCTGTCTTTAGCTACCGGTAACTGTGTAAAGGCCAGGTCTTACTGTATGTGGTGAGAAAGTGATGATGAAGTGGATATTGTCATGTTAGCTTGACTCTTCGTGCCGAGAATGTGCAAACATTGGACACATTTCAACTTGAGCGAATATTGCAACAAATGTTTCTTGAAGTCAATTTAGCTCTGCTTTCGCTTTCACTTTAAGTGTGAACTGGCCCCGCAGTATGCCAGTTGGAACCTTTGGAATCCTTTTTTACTGTGAAGTAAACCTAGCCGTACATCACATTGTTGCAGCTGCCCGGCAATGAGGCCTTGCTTTATTTTTCATTCCTAGGTGGCGAGTCTGGCTCAGCTGACACTGCCCGCGACCCCCGCGGCTTTGCTGTCAAGTTCTACACCGAGGATGGCAACTGGGATCTGGTGGGCAACAACACTCCGATCTTCTTCATTCGGGACCCCATCTTCTTCCCCAGCTTCATCCACACCCAAAAGAGGAACCCAGTCACCCATCTCAAGGTTTGTTTAACTTTCAAATGACTTTTGAAAACGGTAGTTGGTCGCTTCATCTGTTACTTTATTTATGGATGTGATCCTTGTAAAAATAATGAAGCAGTGAGAAGTCCTTGTTATCAATATTTCACTTTTTCTGACCGATCATCTTCTTCCAAATCTGTTGACCTGTGGCTGCAGGACCCTGACATGTTCTGGGACTTCATCACCCTGCGCCCCGAGTCCACCCATCAGGTCAGCTTCCTGTTCAGTGACCGTGGGACCCCCGACGGCTACCGCCACATGAACGGCTACGGCAGCCACACCTTCAAGCTGGTCAACAAGGACGGGAAGGGTGTCTACTGCAAGTTCCACCTCAAGGTTTGTACGGCATTCTGTGAGCACTGACACTATTGACGTATTCAGATGAAGTAATTTTTGCATTGGGGAAATGGAATTTTATTTAAGGGTTTCACCCTTCCCTGACATATATTCATAACACTTTATATCAGTGTGGTCCTAGGGCTTGTTAAAATTTTCAGCGGATATGAATCCCACCAGAGTAAGCTGAGTGTACATCATTATAAGTACACTTCGGTGAATGACAAAACTGCCAATAGAAAATATTTTAAATGTTGAGAACCATAACAAATATAAAAGATGAATATCAACTTTGTTAAGGTTCAGCAAATGGGTTGGCATCAAACTGGACCATGAGAGTGTCACTGTTTACAGTTCTAAGGGATATTTGTGTAAGGACCTTTAACTCTAACCCCCTAGGCTTTTGTTCTAGAAACAGTACTGAACCAAACAAACTTCAACAAATACAACTTTCACTGTAATTACTGGCATTTGGCTAGACAAACTCTGTTAAACTCCAACAAGACAACTGTGATGAGGTTGGAGCCATTTAGCATGAATAAGTGTGGGCAGTATACAAGTGACTTGCAGACTACCAAATCTGGCAAAATCAAGCACAATCTAACATGTGCATGTACATAACTCCACACCCTAGGCCTTTGTTCCAGAATCCAACAAAGTTGAACAACAAGTTCATAATGGGACTGAATCAGCCAATGCTTGACAAAACCTACAGGTGGGGTTTTAGAGTCTCAGGTCGTTAGAAATAAAGAAATGCACGTTACAAAAACTTGTTTAATTCTGTTGAAATAAATATGTTGTCTTTGCAAGCTGTTAAGTCATTTCTCCCCATGCCATGTTTGGTCATTAATCTAAAGTGTAGCGGAGGCCTTGGTTGCAGCTTATCCAGCCCTCGGTGGTGAACCAGGATCCTGTTCACACACACATGTACTGGCACTGTAGTAATCCAGAATAGCCTCTAGAAACCTACATGTATCAGTAAGCAGGCAGCTGTTAAAGTCCTGAAAGATTTAGAAAGGACTTTAACAAAGCAAAATACAGGGTTTTGGCATCCCGTCCAAAACCCTGTTGATTGTGTTGTTTCTGGGATGCAGGACATATACAATCAGATAAGTACATTTTTAATTTGTCTATCTCTAGTCCTGTGTGTGCTTTCCCCATTTCTATAGCGGCACGTAATGGCTGTCCAGTTTGTTGATCGCATTACTTTTTTGGACAAGTTCACTTGCTGAAATAGAATCCTTGACCTGGTTGTTTTTATAAAACCAGTGTTTGCAAAAGACGGATCCTTTCAGGCGCTGATTATTTGTACATGCAGAGCTTGTTTGGTCAGTATTTGGACTCCAAATAATTTCCCTTCTGTTCTGAAGGACAAGAAGGAGTGAAATATTGGTTGACATGAATCAGCGCAATTTGGTCTGTAGGTCAGTCGCCATGCACAAATCAGGAATGCGTGGGAAAAGTAGTGAAGAAACAAGCATTGAATCACCAGGCATTGTTGCTGCAAAACTGAACTTCTCTGCCCCGTTATTAGGTTGAAATACCTGGCCTGGCTGGAATACTCCAGCGTCAGTAGATGTTGTCTGTCAGATTAGAGTAGAAACCAGACAATCCATCGTGTGGGTGTGTCCAGTAAATGAATTTATGAATTTGTAAAGAATTTTGAAAACAGAAACAAAAGAAAATTATCCCGTCCCAGCATCATCAACATTCATAAATGCCCCCAGCGCTAAGTGGTTAAATTCTGCTCAAAGTTCAAATACCTTTGGGATCGAACGAGGCCCAAAAGAAGTTACTGATCTTTGGAATAGACCTCGGCAAGCTTTTGTAATCTGAGACTCGCGGATTTAGAATGTATTTTGCTGTGCCTACGTGCTAAATCCTGCCTAATGTTCTCTATATTTACCCACGGGTCAATTGTCTTGTGTAACCTCAGCATTATGTAGTCCTGTGCTGTCAGCCTTGTCAGGCACAGGTTTTTATCAGCTCTGTACTTTGGAATTGCTGTTTATTTGTTTTAAGTTTCTGCCAGCGGCACACAATAAGGCCAGTGTTTTCAATCAGCCTTTCAACATTTGTGTCGGGTCATTTTTTATCAGGATGCAGGGGACATGCAGCAGACGACCGTGTTATTTCACATGCATAGATTGTTCACATGCATGTACATGTACATGTTGACCTGCACATATACCGGCACATGAAATTGTATGAAAGATGTACATGTCATCATACAGTTTCATGTGCACATAATGCATGTGTACATGTAAAAGTGCTCACCATCAGGGCCCAATTTCATGGCTTTCCTTTTCGTAAGCTACCTCGTTAAGAATCTTTCCCACCTTAAAAAAACCTCATTGCTTTTCACAGTGATAAGCACACGTGTTTCAATGTCAGGGGGAAAAGGAATAGTAAGGAAATTTGGGTTCGTGGGCATGCTAAAAAACCTTCAACCTGTCTGCTTCCTCCTTTGGAAGTGCCACAAGCACAGAAGGCTTATTATAATCACATTATTAATGGGTGCTGGACAGTCAGACAGTGGTAGAGAGCAGTGTGTGCAGAGATGTACATGTACATTTATGAGTAGAGAAATGCACGACTGCTAAGCGTTTTTCACAGTTATTTGCAGCTCACTGGTAAAGTAGTTGCCACTGAAAGTACCGTGTGTAGCCTGCATTTTGTAACTAGCAGAACATTCCAGAAAGTTTTGGCTTGACAGCTGCACGTACTGAGACAATCATTTCCCCTTAGATTTCAAAGATATAAAGTAAACTTTGATTTCTGGGTTATCAGCGCTCTCCACAAATAGGTTCACCAGCTTATAAGTGGAAAGTCAACTTCTGATTAACTTGGATCCAACTTCAGTCTTGTGACATCTGATATGTCCAATCTATTGTTTGATTTGCGGCATTTGTTTTGAAGTGTCCTTGCTCAAGTGCCACTTGGTACCAAGCCCACTTTCTTTTAAGACTCAAAGGTGTACAGTACTTGTACCTGAGAGGGCCCATTTTCGGAGTCTCCTATGAAGCAGAAAGCATGGCATACATGTAGCAGATGTTTTTGTTAAGCGAAAATGAGTGGGGAAACGGTATCAAGTCATAGACATTGCAGGACTTTGCACTTTGGTCGGTATTAACCAGTTTTTGCTTCGCACATATTTTCTTTTGCTCAGCCAATTCCTGTGTTGAGCAGCTCGGTGTAATTGGCCCTTTGTAATTTGCTTCAAATTTTCCTGTCCTGCGACATGTTTGTACCAGTACCGTGGCATGTGCCCCTCTGTCATTCTGATAGGCCCTAATAATTACAACTTGTACAACAAATGAACATGAGTACATGTATGTACATTTAGTTATTTGCCAGTGTGACCTTGCAGAATCTTCTAGTCAGAGGTATCGAATGGTAGTCCACTTTTGGCGTTTTTTTTCTTTTAACATTTTTAAGTCTCAAATGTTTTGCTGTGCACTCTTCAAGATGACACACATTTGTTTGAGTCTGTGTGTTTTATCCAAACAATTGATTTATGAGGACTTGGCAACAATACTGGTACCTCAGGTCCTCTATGTGTATCTGGATTCTGTGTGCCTTAGTGTGCCTGCATTTTTGCAGACGTGTACAGTGTATGTGTACGTTCACCACATGTACATATTTAAAAACTGTCCTCACTCTGTTGCCTTCCCTGTCCACAGACTGTCTCCACTATGTTGCAATCCCTGTCCACCGACTGTCCCCACGATGTTGCAATCCCTCTCCACAGACTGTCCCCACTTTGTTGTATTCCCTGTCCACAGAGTGTCCTCCCTCTGCTGCATTCCCTGTCCACAGAGTGTCCTCACTCTGTTGCATTCCTGTCCACAGATTGCCCTCCCTCTGCTGCATTCCCTGTCCATAGACTGCCCTCACTGTGTTGCAATCCCTGTCCACATACTGTCCCCACTATGGTGCAATCCCTGTCCACAGACTGTCCTCACTCTGTTGCATTCCTGTCCACGTGCTGTCCTCACTCTGTTGCATTCCATGTCCACTGACTGTCCTCACTTTGTTGCATTCCGTGTCCACAGACTGACCAAGGCATCCGTAACCTGAACGCCGCCCAAGCTGAAGCTCTGGCCTCAGGCGACCCAGACTATGCCATCCGCGACTTGTACAATGCCATCTCCAAGGAAGACTTTGTGAGTACATCAGACATTGTGCACAGGTTTGCCAGATTTTTTTCTCTTTGTCGTTCCTCTCCACTTCAGTTGGGCTGCTTTTGTTGACATACATTTCTTTACTTTCTCACCTTGCAGCCATCTTGGACCGTGAAGATCCAGGTCATGACCTTTGAGCAAGCAGAGCAGCACAAGGACAATCCATTTGACTTGACCAAGGTGGGGCCATTGTATACTTTTCCTCAGTTTCATTGTGATGTTTTGTGGTACAATGGTAGTATTTTCTTTGCATCTCAAGATGATCATCGTAGGAAACTGAAACTATGGCTCAGTAGAAGCCAGAGGAGATCTGGTCCGTTGACCCCAAATGTCAAACGCCAGTCATCCAGTGTTCAAAAAAGCACAAGAAATGGAGGTAACTTGAAACCTGAACATTTTTGCCAAACAGGTGTGGCCACAGGCAGAGTACCCGCTCATCCCAGTGGGCAAGATGGTTCTCAACCTCAACCCCAGGAACTACTTTGCCGAAGTGGAGCAGATTGCGTTTGCACCAGCTCACATGATCCCCGGCATTGAGCCCTCACCGGACAAGATGTTGCAGGTTGGAGTCATGCTGGGGTGTCAGGTTTTTTTTTTTCTAGAAGAGGGAGGGGATGTAAAAATTCAAGGATTTTCTGATGGTGGTAGGAGGTGTTAGATAACAATATGTTCAAATAAATTTGCTTGACTTTTTACCGACATGTTAAATGTTCTAGTTAGGTGGAGGAAATGAAGCGACATGAAACATTTGGTTTTTTATACCACTTTTTGGTATTCTCAAATGGCAAGGGATGAATTTTGAATGAAGTACAGAGTAACAAGTGTGATTGTTTAAAAAATGAAGTTCACATTACGGTGTTAGTTGAACGAGTCATCTAACAAGGCTGTTTTCATTTTGCCTGGTAACCTACAGGGACGTCTGTTTTCCTACCCCGATACACACCGCCACCGCCTGGGAACCAACTACCTGCAGATCCCAGTGAACTGCCCATACAAGGCCAAGACTCGCAACTACCAGAGAGATGGACCGCAGTGTGTCACTGACAACCAGAGTTAGTCGCACTCTTCTGCCTTACGACCCAGTCCCTCTCTGAATTTGCTAGAATAAAACCCAAGCATAAGCAGTATGAAATTATAAGTAAGAAGCATTGCCTATGTTGGCCCACCAGGGTGCAATTTGGTCCAAGTTGAAGGTGTGTGAATAAGCACCACCAGCCACTGCACATGTTTCTCAGCCCAAAAGATGCTGTGCTTTCCAGGAAATTGACACTGAGTAAACGCAGTTGCTTCAAGTTCAGCTTCTTCATATTATGTGTTGAGAATTCATGAAATATGCGGAAGGTTTGGATCCCAAATGCAATATGTCCAATGTAGCAAGGTGAAATTTTTCCACCGTCGTGAAATTAGGGAATAAAAATGGTAAACCTGAAAAAAGTTAAATGTTTGGTGTATTCTCAAATTAGTTCATGTTTATCTGTAAGTTGGATACCCGGGTAGAATGGATCATTCTGCTTGGCTTAAACTATGACTTCTTGATCAGGAAACACAAATAGTGTTTAACTCTATGAAATCTGTCAAATAAATTCAGGCAGTCAGGTCAAGGTGGAATTCTAAAAGGTGTCAAAGATCACTTCTCGCATTTTGAAAATGAACTTTCCACATCCTGGGCGACTTCTGCCCCTTTGTGTTATGAGCATGTTGGTCTGATCTTGGCCCAGCTACCCACCCACATGTCTTCTACTGGCACACCGGAAACCTCATTCCCAGAAACGGTACTAGTATTTCCTCAACGTTCCTTTCTGCGATAGATGGGGCTCCCAACTACTACCCCAACAGCTTCAACGGGCCCACGGACGATCTGAAGTATGCCCAGCAGACCTTCTCCATTTCCGGTGACGTGGCTCGCTACAACACCAAGGACGACGACAACTTCACCCAGCCGGGCATCTTCTGGTCCAAGGTGCTGACACCCAAGGATCAGGATGCGCTGGTCTCCAACATGGCCGGCCATCTCAAGAATGCCCAGGAGTTCATCCAGAAGCGAGCGGTAAATGTCCACCATCCCTTCCTTTTTGTGTAGAGTCTGCTCTTTCTACATCAGCTGCATTTTAGCCTACCAGTGGCTGGTAAACCTATTACTGGCCGTCAATAAATCTATGACTCGCCGTCAGTTTAACTAGAAAACTATGGCAGTCAAAAAGCATAAGACTGATTCACTATCAAGTATTAAAAATCTGTCAAATTGTCCAAGAAGAAAATGCTAGTACTAAATTTTAAAATATGATCCCTTTGATGAATGTTCAGTTTGAGGTAAAATCTGACACCAACCTATGTGGTACTGTATTTCTTAAAATATTGGCCAACTAGAGCAATGCTAGGCAGTAAAAAGTGCTCTATATGGTCAGCATTTCTCTGCCTCAGTTGGAAAATAATTGAATTCTTCCCTGTGGTGTTTTAGTTGAATCCATCACGAAGTAAATCACAGGTCCTTCCAGAATCATTTCAGTTCAGTCACTTGTAACAGAATGAACATACAACAAATGTGTATCTTTGTTTGAGTTGAATGGCCTATGATAAAAATTTACAGTGGAGGTGGACATTTGAAAAAAAAAGTCAACCACAACACTATTTCGGAAGCAAACCAAACACTGAATGAACCGCTGAAGAAACAAATTTTCAACTGGCCAATGCCTTTAAAGTCCAGGGAGTTGATCAGAAAGTGAGGGTTGAGTCCCTGTCGATTGTTGCAACTCTTTAGCAGGTTTGACGACTTTCTGAAGAAAATAAAAACTGGTCCCATGGTTTTGCTTTGTAGATGATCACTGTGCTTCCTTGGATTATTGTATCTGGTGTACTAAAGAAACAGCCGGTTCACTTAAGGTCAGCAAACAAAATCCGAAAATATTTACTGTGACCAAATGATTTTATGTTTTACTTTAATGTGTTGGGTTGTTTATTTTTATTTTGGTGAACAGGTTGACAACTGGTCTCAGTGTAGCGCTGAATGGGGAAAGCGTCTCCAGGCTGCTTTGGATGAGCACAAAGCCGTTGCTGTAAGTTGATTGGATGTACATGTAGATAGTACAAGACAGCCCTAAGCTGAAAGATAACCCTTGCTTTACCTGCATTTGGAAAGAACAGTTTCTGAGATTAGAGCCTAACACTGTGACGGCACGTGAATTGCAAGTGCATTATTTGACTTGGTCGTTTTTTTTATGCATAGAAGAGAGACCCTGTGCAGCTCTTCTTGTGATAATGATTGTAGTTTTACCTTCGCATAAATACACATGCAAGTGGAAACTATGTCAGTTTATTCATTTGTAATCAAACTTTCTTGTGTACTGTCTATTTACTCAGAAGTAGTTTGGCCATGTGACCCCATTATTGGTTTCCATAGCAACTGTTTGAAATTTTACCAAGTTGATGTAAATCAAACACTCTCTCTTTTCTTTGCAGGCAAAGGCAGCTGTTGCCAAAATGTAAGTGGGCGCACTGAAGTGTGCGACTGAGCAAGCTTGGAGCTGATTGGTCACTCCCAAGCTGTTTTGAACAACCGTATCCAATGACATCACAGCTTACAACCATCGTTTCATCTGCTTAGTAAGACTACAGATGGCAGTCTCTTTTGATAGTAATGAGCTGAGAGATGAAACTCGCATTTAAATCATTGCCCAACAAGAAGTTGTAAAATCTTTTGCTGTATGACGATGCAAGGAAAGAGGATTTCACAGGATGAAAACATGCTCCATTCTGGATGAATTCTTTTTGTTTTAGACACTGCCTTTTGTTGATTTGCAAGCGACTCAAGAGTACCTGCTTAATTTTGTAAGATGTTTTTGGGAATCTCCATGGTATGTTTTGATAATTTGTAGGCTTGGCCTTTTACATTATACCACACGGTAGATTTCTTAGGATTCTACAAACAGTGTATCAAATGATGTTTGTTTACTACATGAAATGTTTTTTCTATCAAAAATTTGTATTGCCAACTCTGTTTATTTCTTCTTGTAGTCGAATCACAGTGAAACAAACATAAGTTATGACTTGTTTCAGTCTACAAACGTGTGATGTGGGAATACCGAGCTGTTACGAGTATTCTGGCTTTATTATTCAGGCTTTAACATAGTCGCGCGAAAAGGAAATTTTTGAATTTTCAAGAACCTAAAAAAATTCAAACTGTGTGAACTTAGGTTGTATTGTTCCAAGATTCTATTTGCAGTTGTCAAGCTTTCATTTGCTGCTATTAGAATGCTCACCTTTATAAGCGACTTCATTTTGTAAATCATGCATATTCATATTTGATCCTGTACAGAAATTTTGACGGTAAAATCCCATTTGTGCTGAAGCACTTCCTTAACGCATCCCAGATGTTTACTTTCCTTCTGTAATCCTTTACAATGTAGTGTTAATGTAATGTCATTTTAATCATATTGTATTATACAATTCAATGGTAACTTTCAAATAATCAGGAAGAAATCTTATACATTGAACTGCTACATTCATGGCTAATTTCTGATCAGTTTATTGGCTTTTGGTAGTGATAAATGATGATAGCGGAGTGTTTGGACATACATCTTAATTTCTTTTTTTTTTCATTCATGGAATTAATTTTGAGGTTTACCAGCGGAGAGATTGAATATGATACTTGTGATCATTCCAGTGTACACAGTAATAAAGTACAGCCTTTGAATAACCACAGCCTTTTTGTTTGAAGTTTATTCTTTTTTAAATTAATGTCAAGAGAAAACAGTCTGCTTCGACGTGGCATTACAGGGCTGCATTGATGTGATGAAAACACAGCATCAGACAGACACAGTTCTATGGAGATACCATACCTTCGGTGGCACCATGCTTGTGTATGCACATGCACTTAAGGCAATTCTCAATACCCCCCTTGACCAGAGAGGAACATAACAAGCCCATCACATGCATAGTTAGTGTGGCGCTGCTGCATCTATTGGCCAATTCTGGTTGCTGAAATTGCCTATAACTGCCGAGAACTGCTATACCTCATCCAACACGTCATCTAAACAAAATCTGTCAAAATCATCCGGTCTGGGAGCACTGTGGAGGTTTGGGGATGGTAAAACCCTACCAGTGTACCACTTGACGTGGGACTTCACGCCCCTTGGAACTTTGCCCGCAGTGTGAGTATACAAAGGACATCGGTAGCATAACCGAGGGCAGAGTGCTATGGGCTACAGAATGTACGGGTACAACTGCAAAGCAAACCAGTGTTGGCCTACCGGTATTTGAAGTGTGGCAGACATAATAGGAGGGCGCTGTTTGAAGCGGGATGAATTATTAGCGAACAGACGATTTTCCGGGGAACAAAACGGGGTGTGTTTAAATGAAAATGATGGTCCTTCGGTACAACTCCCTGGTAGGCGCGCAAGTTTGGTGCAGGGCACGCTGAATACACGCAAGGAATTTATGCTGGAACGTACAGTTTTGCATGTGCGCTGAATGCGTGCAGGAACCCGGTTGGAAAGCTTCTCACCTCCATGCCTGTCTTTCTTGCGCCAGTGAGGGTGCACTTTAACTCTGGGCGGATAGCGCCCTCCTACTGTGTCTGCCATACTTCCAATGGGCTAGTTAAACCAAAACAAGCAAAATAAGGGATGGGAGATTATAAATTCAAACTCAGGACTGTCAAAATGTGCCATAAATCTAAACAGGGATATCGGTTGTGATGATGAAAAACACAGGATATTTTTTTAAAAATTTCAAATGGACATTTATGCAAGTTTGTCTCACACTAAATTGTTTGCCAGGGGCAAACCAAACCCAGGCTATGTGCCTGAAGAACATGCCTTGGGTAAAGTCATTTCTGAAAAACTCTCAAGGATTTTTAAATTAGCACCGTATCCTGTGGAGTTGAGGGCTGAAGTATGCGGTCTTAAGTAGGCTTAGCAAATTGACGTGAATGGGAAAGGATAACTTAGTCCTACCCTGTCAACAAACATCTGTGAATATTTCCTAATGAATAAACAATAAACTACAAGTACAAACGTGACGATTTGTAAAAGGTTAGCATACAACTGAGCTTCCCTCCTTGTGAAAGACAAGTTTCATGGGAAGTCTCTGACAAAGCTCTTATATCTTGGTTCCAAAAACTAGAATGAAAGTCTCATAAATATATTCTGCTTTGAGCACCGTGGATATGTATAAATCTATATATACAATAAGCGCTTTTCAATGCATAACTTGAAAAATATACACATGAACTAATAAATACACACAAATCTTATCTACATCTCAAAACAGTAACATTGCTACAGATGATACATCAAACAAACACGCAGTCAAAATGCACCAATGTTCCTGCTGTATGCCTAGCCAGGCTACTGCCAGGCTTAAGGGACAGAACATGAGTAAGCTACATGTACTTGAGATTTGACGCAACACTTCCTTGTAGTTGTCTTGTTTTGCTGTTGATATGACAGCCAAGAAAAAAAAAACACATCTCGATCAACTGGATGTGGCTAGGAGTAGGACACGCGACTATGACATAGGCCAAAGCCACAAACTAATAGCTTCCAGGCTCTTTCCTTCCACAAAATGATCTTTTGAAACACGGTCTATACCCGTCCCTTGGGTGTTCAAAATGTCATATCCCATACCAAAGCAGTCAACAATTGTTTTGTCATACCTCTGTCTCAAGAAATTTATCCACACAAATAATAATTTCAGAAGACGAAAGGCCTACTGTCAAACTGTACAAGTAAACATACATAGACAATATCATCTGCAAATACACTGTTCCCTCACTTCCTCTAATTGCGTAAACTTTAATGTGAAACTAGTGCGGGTACCAGTGAGTACATGTAGTCTGGTTAGCAGACCCCACATTACATTATATGCAGCGGGGACAGGAACGAGTCTGTTAAATGAGCGCAATCATTGATCGAATTCCCCGGTAGCCTATGCACAAAACGGGTACCATGGAAAAACTGACTAATGGAGCACAAATGTTCGCTCTTAAACCTCCCCAAGCTCTTCTGTCTTATGCCCGTGACAGAAAGAGATATCTCACAGTGAGTGCGATATGCGGATAGATCACCCGGTCATATGATCTTTCTGGGCCAATAAACGGACAGTGTCCAAGACAGAGGTAGGACATCTCAATTAGTTGGGATATGTGTCTACACTATAACATTCTGATCAGAAATGCTAACAGCCCCGTGTCATACAAAGCTCTCTTTTGTAGCAGAGCACATCATGAAGGAGTCAATGAGTCTGGGCTTAATGAGCCTGTCCACATCTGATGACTTGAAAACAGATGGGCCAAGGAGGCTGTGAAGCTTCCTTAGTGCCGCCTGTGAGTAAAATGAAGGACCATCAATATGAGTTCCTTATAACCATCTGGAGGCAATTAATCTTCCACAGTGGGAACAGGGGCGAATCAACACCCAAATTGGGGGGGGGAAGTATGCAGCATCCCCGGCAGGTGCACTTTTGCATGAACTGTTTGTATCAGCCGCAATTAAGCAGCTGCTCAGAGACAGTTTCCTGAACCAAATAGCTCTTTCCATACAAAACAATGTCCATGTAAGACACTTACTGCTTTTCACTCTTATTCTCATCTTTTTTTTGGGGGGGCATGGCCCCACAGCCCCCCCCCCCCGAATCCACCCTTGAGAGGGAACATTAATGCCCCCATTTCGAGAACATGCACACAGCTTCATTTACACGGAGAGTTTTAGGATGCATGGCTGGGATAGTCCACTTCAGGAAAAAACCTCCTATTTTGTGTTTTGTTTTGGGAATCCGAAGTGACACACAATTTTGTAAGTAAGTGAGAATGACGTGTCAAGAGTCTGGTCAAGTGACAGGAATGGACAATGACAAAGGGGATGCAATTGCTGCCAGCCACTGGAATAGCTTAAGACTTGAGTTGAGACTCTGGTGGATTTAATAAGACTCAACTACAACACGGGAACACAAAAAATATATCACCGACTGATCAGAAAGCCAGGCGGGTAGGGGAATCAACACCATCAGGTAGATTTTGAGTCAAACTACAAGGAAGAATATTTCAACTTACTAGGCAGGCAACAAGGACTGGCTCACTGTCGTTCCTTTCTCGTCTGTTACAGCAAAGCTCCACCAATCTTGGTATCGCTGCACCGTGATACAAAAAGACAAGGACTAGATTGAGAAGTCATAGCAAACTTAATACACTTTGTGCCTTCAACCCCACACCTGTGACATTCTGGGTAATTTTTCTCCAACCAGCATAAGATATGTCGAGAGAAAACACCATGTAATCAGAGTTGAGATTGGAGGAGAATGAAATATCCACAAAATAATCACCAGAAGTTAGAGGGTGCCACAGCAGCATACATGTGGGTTCTATGGCATAGATCTGTGCTTGCCTAAAAGTGCCCCCATTAATGTAGGTATTTCTTATGTTTTATATCAATTTCTATACAGAAAATAAACATCTGACATGTCTGATGGTAAACTCTGGATTTTCCAGATTTTAAATGATATTGTTTGGCAAATCCTGAAATCAGGAAAATCATGATGAAAACTTCTGCAATCAGGGAAAACACTGACCAAATTTCACCTGTGTGTAATTTTTTCAGTTGTTAATGTCTGGAATTCATTGCGACTGATTATGAGTGGCCGACCTGGGTTTGATTCTCCGCAAACTTTTTGCCGATTTGCTCCCCTGCCCACAACTTGTCTACTTTTTGAAGTAGACTCACCTTCCAGGTCCAGAATGAGCTCGGCGCTATCCTGATCCCTAGCCAGCCTGGCCAAGGCGATGGCCCCCTTCTGGTGCACCTTCTCACAGGATGATGACATCACCAGCTGCTGGTCACTGCCGCTGCTGCCCCCGCTCAGCCTGCTGCCCTTGGGGCTCATCTTCTTGCTGCTGGAGGTAGGGACTAGTGCCCTCGTGTGCAGGAAGTCCACTAGCAGCTCTGTGCCACCCGACACAATGATCTCTTTCCGACATTGGTCCGTAACGGCCATGTTGGCCAGTATTGTTGCTACCTGAAGATTTAGTTCAGCAACGAAACAAAAACATATCATACCTTGGCAACGTTTTTATAAAACAGCAGTCATGGCAGTTGCATCAGGAAAAAAGGGATTCTTATCCTTGGCAAGTCTATAATTTCACATTGTCAAAATACATGTACACAGTTGCTTTTATTTCAAAATGAGTCAATGTTCATACACATCTGTTCAAGATAAGAGCACATATGCATGTTGTCCATAACATTTCATTGTTAGCATAGGTTATGAGCCACAGAAAATGTACAGCTTTTATTTTTTTGAGAATCAACAATTTCATGTAGGACATTTTCTATTTTATATATAACACTGATGAATGTTGAGGATGTCTTAAATACACAATCTACTGAAGAAAAACTGAAATCTTGTAACAAAAAAGGGTATTCATGGTTGCAGCTATGCACAGTGGCAACTTTCATAAAAACTAAAGAACTTTACACTGGATTTCTACTTTGCTTCAAACTGTTTGATGCGGGGTAGAATTGGGTATCTTTACCTGGTCTTTGCAGTACAGTGTATTGGCCATGCCATTACTACAGCCCTTGACTAGCGCCCTCGCTGTGTGAAAGCTAGCCAGGCAATCGCACGCCATACTATCCATGAAGGTGATGTTGGCTATGGCAGAAACTGTGATGACAAATACAGAACTCGATGATGCAGTCTCTGCCAAAGCTGAAGGCAAAATACAAAAACAAAACAATATTTTGACGTTCCTTGAACCAGGAAAAGAGGGCAAAGTCACATTCAATCAGGAGAAGGAAGTTCCTCATTAAGCGACAGATTTAATGCTCAAACAGAGGGCCATTACTTTCTAAAATTGATGACAATGCCCTATCCCATATATTTTCATTTGTTAAACAATACTAAATTAAGTAAATTTACATTTTGAACTGGATTTGACATCACCACAAGACTCACGAAGTTTCTATGGTTTTAATGAAGCTCACTGATTTGCTCCCACACAGTAGTATTAAAACGAGTAGTGATTGTTTCTAGATTTTTGTTTCAGGGGTTGAGAAAGTGATCCCAAATAGACATGGCTGTCAATCAAACCTGTTAACTCTTTCAGCAGGTCCTCCATGTATTCAATGAACCCTAGCAGGTGGTGGTAATTGTCGATGTTTGGGGATGTGATCTGGGCAACCACCGATGCGGCCTCTGCCTTCACTGACTCCGTGGCAGAAGGCGAGGACAAAATTTCACTCAGGTATTCCACACCACTTGCCTGCAAACAATGCACAAATTTTGGCTTTGTCATGGCTTTAGTTTGTTATTTGTAAACAGTAACGTCACTGTTGGGGGAGGGGAGTACTACTGGCTCCGCCTTCATTTTCCTCCAGGACACCAAGCGCTTAGTAGCTCCTAGCTTCCAAAGTTCTTGAACTAACACTTCAAGAGCTACTTGGGTCTACAAACTGGAAAACTAGGCTCCGTAATGATCTTGACTCAAGTCTAAATTCAAACCAGGACTCTAAATTCAGATTATATAAAAGTACTTCACAAAGGAACTAGCAAGAACCCAAACTGATTCATGTTGAAGTTGGAATGAGCCCAACATCACAGGGGTGCAAGTCATGAACAGTTTAAGAGCTGTAATTACAGGACCTTCTGTGATTTCACTCTGATCAAACAGAGTTGTCTTTCTGGTTTGATTTGGTTTAACCTCACCCTCTCCAACTCCTGTCTTCCCTCGGCAACATTGCACAAGTTAGCCACAGCCTTGAGAGCCATGGGCTTCACAGCATTGAGAGAGGCTTGCTGGCAGAGCAGCAGTAAAGCTTGTATAGCGCCCTCCTGAGACAACAATCAGATAGAACGAATCTCTTTCAATATAAACCACACTGCAAACTGGGAAATACTTATAACTATACTGACACAAAAATGCTGGAGTGCTCTGATCCAAAAATGCCCCATCATCGACAAGAACTGTCCAACACTGACAAAAAAGCAAAACTGGCTGAAGTTGAATTGGAATCTGAGACTTCAAAATTACCACACCAGTCATCTGTGACTTGTGAGGGGCAAGCAGCTGAGTCAGCAGAACACTGGTATGGTAAACTAGACGTTGCAGGTTCCAATCCCACTGGAGTCCATATTTCTTTGTTCCTACGTTTCATGCCTAGTAGTTTTTAAAAGCCAGTTTCCCTTAAATGTAATCCAAGAATTAATCTCTATTCTTTCCCATGTCAAGGAGACCACGAGCATCACTCGAGCTTCCCCACGTTTGACTTTCTCTTCCGATTTTTAAATTCCCTCTCCAGCTACTCAGTTTTTTTAAATCGTTGCAACATCTTGCAAACTCAGAGGGCATCAACTATTTTTCAAATCGTCAGGAGTGCCTCACTGCTTTTGTCATTAAACATTCTGGCCTTGAAGAAGAGAAGTTTAATGTAACTAATGATTGTACCTTAGCGAGTAGCCTTCGCATCTCACTGTCATCTTCCGACAGACAGTGAATTGAGTTGATGGCAATCTTGATGTTGTACTCACTGGCTGACTCACGGACACTTCTCACGACAGTCTAAAAAAACACAATGAACAGCATGTTCATAAATCACTCTTCATGACAAATGATCAACCCTCTAGCATAAAACATGCTTTGCAATATGATAAAGGAGAAGTTAACACTGTGACACATTCACGTCATAACTTCACATTTGCTTGCAAACTGAACCAGAGTTGAGCACAGGAGAGAACCAGTGGGGTGTTTTCCAAAGCTACCAGTAGATAAAAAATAACCCCCCCCCAAAAAAAAATGCTTCAGCTTCATTACAAACAATTTAATGTTAGCAACTAATTAACTGTAGATGCATAAATTTTCAGTATACAATCTCATCCTTCATGTTGGCAACCTGTGTGGTGGAACTGTTGGGCTATATATATTAAAGCTACATTCGCCATGCCACCTCCTCCCCAGTGCCAACAAATGGAAGGGGCTTGGGGACAACTACATCGTGGATACAAGGGCAACAAAAGTCAATGTGAATATGTTGTAAATTTGCCCAAGAAGAGCAAGCAGGAAGAGTGATTGCTGCTCCCCGTCTGGTGCAAAGACACGGAACCCCATTCTTAAGATGCACCCAGTTTACCCCCTACGCAGGGTAAAAGGTATTGCACTCAGCGTAACAGCAATTTCATAGTTTGCTGTCTTTCGCATATATTTATTGTCCAATCCTGCAATCGGCTTGGGTCAGCGATTATTACAAGCAAAAGGAGGCTATAGCCTTCTAGGGGATAATTATTCAAGAACAAAAGTCCCAAGCCTGTTGAGTTGCCCTGGGATGACTTCTATCCAATCAGCTGTTACTGAATTTGCACTAAAAAATGCGGGGTACGGCCACTTTGTCACAGCCATTCGGAGAATAACAACGGCTTACTTTTTGCTCTCAATCTTTTCAATACCTCACTTTTTGCATTACCACCCTCAGTTAACATTTCTTACTCTAAACACGCATCACAAAACAGCAAACATCTCCTTGGAAGACAGTTTTTCTGACCTGAACGAGAATGCCTTGCACCATGTGGACCAGGTCATTGAACGCCTTGCCTAAACTGCTCAGCACATTCAACGTTGGCAAGGCAGGAGGCAGGGCGCCGTTCAACTCCTCAAAGCTGTACAACAAAAAGGGATGAATTGATCCATTCGGAAATATCCAAACACCTCCTTACGCTTATGAACACGATACTACCGAGTGCTGTCCTATACTTTTATCAGCATTTGTGTCTGTGAGTACAAACTTGACGCGCAACGGCTGCCTCTAGAATTTTATGGTTTTCGGATACTTCCGCTACTGTTCTGTTAAATCCTGATTCGAGTTTCAACAGTACAAAGTACATTTGGAATTGATGTTTCCTGCTATTGCACCCTTTGGCAGAATGTTTCTACAGATGTTTTCCCTTTACACAACAATATATTACCATTATTGTGAAATCTTGTGAGCAATGTATTGGAGCATGGCCTGTGCAGCAGTATTCTCTTCAATGCCCCCAACCGCGGACATGGGTCAACTCATTTCAATATATCCACAACTGCATATACATGACTTGCCTTCCCACACAACAGAAAGTGGGAACGCTGAGTAGGAAAGTTTGCACCGCTGAAAAGTACACATGTATGTGCCACATTGAATAGAGTCTGAATGGGTCTAGCCCAAAACACATTGAACTATTTTCTTGACAAACTTTTTCTGGGGCAAGTATGTAGGCCAGGACCTGTGACACAATGTGGAGTTGATCTTCACTGTAAAACAGTGCCCAAATGAACCAAATACTGAAATAGTTTCTGGCTTGAGGAGATGAAATTTTCCTAAAGATACCTAAATGCACAATCTTGTTTAGAAATCAGAGATTTTTTTGGGGGGGGGGGACAATTTTGATCAGGGCCGAACATACCTCTCTGCATGCTTTACAAGTCTGCCGCATTCCTCAAAAACTGTTTGCTGTTGCTGTAACAAAATGTTGATAGCGATACGCGTATGAACATTACTATAGAAGATATTTCTGTCCTATTAAGGAGCTGCAAATACCACCAATTTAGAAATGTGATTATTATTATAATTATTCATTTATCATTCATTATTACATGAAGCATGTACATGTATGAATTTGCCCTTAAAGTAACCCACATTAATGTGATTGGGGCCAGATTAGAGGAAATACATGCATGAATCACTACTTTGTACTTGACAAATTTAATGTTTCTTTCAGCTGAAAGAAATTGGTCAATTCTTACCTGGAACAAGTGAAGTGGCATGGCTGGGACATAAGACGTGCACTCATGAAGGAATGTGCGCAGGCGAATGGTCAATGAAAGACACAACCAGTGGACCTGGTCCCAGGACCCTGAATCAAGTTTGCTTTGTTGGAGCAAAAAATCATTATGACACTGTCACTTAATATTTCTTGAACCCCAACTCCCAAGGCATTTTTTGGAGGAACGTTCCTCAATCCTTCAAAATTGTCACTGTGCAGGGAACTAAAGGAACATACTCTTGTGCTTTAAAAATGGGATACTAAGTCCCACAAAGTAACAGAAGTGGGTCTTTACCGTAATCAGAGCTACAAAGTCCCCTAAACCTATGATTTTTTAACTATTTGGGTTGGAGTGAGTACTGAATCTACCTAGCTTTGCTCAACTCATGACTGGTTTCAACCCAATCCTATCCAATGGATAACATAAAATGTTGATGTACATGTACGGTGCGTGTGCATTGATAACAAAGATGTTTAGAACCATTTTGGTCATGACTTGAAGATGGCAAAGTAAGATTCAGAAACTGCTAAAATGATCTAACTGCAGAAGGAATATGCTGAAAGTACTCACTAGTACAACTTTGCAAAATCAGCTGAGATTGAACTGGCCCGCTGCCTGAGGATGTAGATGTTATCTGTCAAATGAATGGGAAAGAAAGAAATATCAATGACATCAAGGATAAACTTTGTTAAAGCTGTCCTTGGTAGGGCAATCACCCAATACGAGAAATGTAACTTAAGTTTTAAAAAGTGCTTTTGTGAAGGCAAAATTGTAAGCAAAAACTGCATAACAAAGGATACAGGTAATCCCAGTGCTTGAAGATCTATTCTTTTCTGTGGACAAGCACTCAATCTTTTTAAAAAAACAAGGACGAGAGAGTAATCTTCCTGTAATCTTGAAGATTATGGCAGATTATGGTCTCAGAAGACAAGATTACATTTTTGAAACAGATAATAAATCAGCATGACTGACGTTAATCCAGATTAAAAGCCATTTTTTTCTGTTGCAAGAAAGAACAGAGAACAGCACGTGGCTTACCGGTACATGTAGATCTTCTCTTCTACATGTGTGTTTTTAAGTACATGTACATGTACATGCTGCCTTTTTCAAGCTATGAGTGCTAACAATACAGAACTGTAGTATGTATTATTAAAGTATGTTTTAACCCTTCAAAAGGTGAGGGAAAAAATGCACTACTACATGTACTTGTACAACAGGGAAAGGAAAACGCTTTGTTTCTGCTCCAGGGAAGATAAAAATACGAAGTGCAAATCTGCTGTCTGACTGCCTTCAGCTTTAAAGGTCATAAAGTTCAGTTGATCACCACATCTGGGCATACTTAGCAACTGTTTAAGAAGAAAAAAAACTTGTGACACGTTTTTCTGTTGACAAACCTCTTGCACTGGACGTGACTTTGGCCATGTTGTGGGCCGAGGTGCGGATGGGTTTGCCCTGTAGTATGCACATGCACTCACACTCTGTCAGTGTCCTCAGATCTTGTAGCCACCTCACCACTGACGCCTCGTCCGTCATGTGCATCCTGTGGACAAAATTTGCCAGGGGCAGGTTTTATAGACATCTGGTGTATCATGCCACATTACCGAAGGGCTTCAGGGCTAAGACTTTAGCCATTATACAGTTTGGAAATTGTTCAGGATTCAAAGACAGATAATTAACTTTTGCAACTTCACCATAAGTTTGACAACACCCATTGAAAGCCAATAAAAACTCAGAATACATGTATGCTACTGATTTTAATGGGAGACAATGGGCAACACATCATAGTGAAGGTTTATTTCACAGCTGTTTTCCACATTGCACATGCTTGTCTTTAAATTTAAATTCCTTGTTAAATTGAAATCCAATTGTGAATTTTAAGAGAGACAAGAAAAAAATGAAGACTCACTCAATGACATCATCAGAGAGCCAACTGGCCAATGCACTGTTGTTGAATCCATTCATGCCCCTAAAGAGGAAATTAAAAAAAACAATTGGGAATTTTGTCCTCTAGTGCAAGCAGCTTAAGAATGACAAGCTGAATTCAATACACATGAGCATAGTTGAGGCAATCAATTGAGGAGTGATGACCAATAAAACAACTGAAATATTAAAGTGGCCATTATTTCGACAGTGGTGGTTTATTGTTCTGTTTGCCTTCCTGTGGCACATATTTAAATGACTTTGGAACCCTTGACTGGCAGATACCTGTAGATCTTGGGATACACTGTAGATTGTATTTGATGATGCCAAGTTACCATCACCAACGTGGGAATTCAGTGTCATTTGACAGTGAATGAATTTACCGCAGTGTAATAAAATGGATCACAATAACAGACAATGGATCATAAAACAGTTTAACTGGCATAAGGTGCCTCTGAGGCACTGTACAGTTGAGTAAACGTGGTAAGTGTACTTTGAAGTTTCCCCTCTTCAAATCCTTCAAGAAACAAATCAAACACTCTGTTTTGAAGTGCATGTTCTATTAGTTATCCCATCAGCACAACTAGAGTAGGGAATAATGTACTGGTAGTACATGAACATGTATGTCTGTGTCCCTTGCCGGTATGTCAAAGGTGCCGAAGGCTGAGTGGTATACGGGACACAGACCCACTACAGAATTTCGTGCTCCACGAGCATGATGGTGATAATAAACTTACATGTATCTTCAAGCAGCCTTGACGCACAATAAATATACATGTCTGCGCGCAAATGCGACACTTTTGAATTTACAGTAAATTTTGCGTTTCCTTTTAGCTTAAAAATAGTGCAATGCGTTAAATAAGAATAGCGCATTATGCAGGGTTATAAATCACACGGTTTGTTGCCATGGCTTGACCAATCAGATTTGAGAATTCAAGTTTGCTTGAAGATACATGTACCATAAAGGCACTTGTATATGATGTACATGTACCGGTACACGTGCAGGTTCTGTATTGCAAGTGCAAAGCCCAGATACTGTTTCATGCACTTTTAATACTGGGCTAAAACCCTGCTTTACATTAACAATTAACGGTATACACTGAGGGATTCTGGATGATTTAGGATCGGCAAAAAGCAAACTGGTACTATTAATTCATGGCAAATCTATGGCACTGTGGAAAGCTCCGTACAGATCTGAAAAAACCAAAGAGAATCGTCTTTGTTTATTAGCAAAGCTGGTCCACAGAAAGGATAGCCTTCCTATCCAAACAACCTGCACATTTGTAACTTATGTGGCACAGAGCGTCACTGACAAGTACCGGTACAATGTACATGTAGACCACAACACTCTTGTGCCTAACCGGATGGTCCCCTCTCTGCAAGTGGAACTACTGAACATGGCACACACAGTGTGCTCTCAACTTTATTATAAACAAATCATCAATACTCACGATGGAGAGTTTCAACCAGCACAATTAGAAATGCTTTGTAAGCCTGCACAAATCACAGCCTGCTTATTTTCTTTATTCATGCAATCTACGGTAACCACCAAAACATGTAGGTTTGCGCAATTTTCGAGACAGAGGATTGCTACACAAATAACGCTACTGAAGCACATTTATTTTGGGACAATTCCATTCCAATTATCTTTAGACACAAGGATGTCAATGATTAAACACAGATTAATCTCCGACGCTGACATTTTTGACACTGCTCTCCGTATCCCATTGTGCCGTATCCAAAGTCCGTTAACACTGAAGGGCTGGGCAGTTTGGAAAGGTTCCAACAAATGGCAGAAATCCTGTTTCATTGTTTTGATTGGCAGATGCTGATTGGCTAATGATGATATTCAAACAAACTCTAGTTCCATAGTAGACTACCGGTACTAATCTTAATCTGAGGCATGTACACCTGTTCTGATTATTCCGGGTAGCCGTCAGTCACTAGTGCTGTAGAAGGATATTTCAAACAGGCAGAAGTACAGTGTATACAGTTTGACAAATTTTGAAGGAGCTGTTTTCTTGAGAAGGAAAGAAGCTTACCAAAAGAAAACCCAACTGCTATTGGTTGAGTACTGAAGTTAACAGACAAGTGGGTCAGACACCATGAAATGGATACGAGCCTCGACTTCTCAATGTCTCCATAGATGAAAGGACCGGCAAAGGAGAGGTGTACACCAGGTTACACAAACTATTTGCACAATGTGGCGCTGCTGAAATGTATTTGATACCCAATTTGTCAAGTGGGTACTCAGCACCATGTGAGAGATATTTCTGAGTAAGACCATCTGCCATGTGGAACACAAACTCCACAGAGACATACTCAGAAGGTCCACACTTGATGCACTCATTGAAAGACTTCACATGAATTTTTTTTTGGATAAAGGAGGGAGTTTCCAGCCTACAAATCAAGGATGTGACTGGATTTTCTGTACCCCTATAATGCTTCCAAGCTTGGCATTTTTCCAGACAGATCTGGAAAATGTTGTTTCCTTATTACAATTCGAGCAGGTCTCATGTGGCCACATGATACTGTAACCATTGGACAGAAAACACACTGGGATCAGCATGAGGGTAAACTGGTTTCATATTATCTCAATAGGATTTGTAATCAAAGGTATCATTTTAAATGCTGAGATTAGCTGTGACTTCACCTATCGGCCTCGAGTTTGTTAACCTCTTTTTAGCCAAAGCATGTCTTGCTCAGAGTGTTTTGTTTATTATGTTTCATTGCAAGCTATTGGATTATTAATGAAAGACCCAAACATGTTTTTCACAGGTCTCTTTGCAGATGGTGAAAGCAACACAGGTTTTTTTTATCAACAAATCTATCCTAACACTGAGCTTATGACCCAGTTCCTTGCTCTGTGGTTTCACAGACAAGATACAGAGAATAATAAGAGTCACCTCAAGAGCTATGCCTGTGATGGCAAGCCAGCTTCAAAAGTGGGTATAATACAGTGTAGTTGGAACGTGTTTAGGCCCT